CGGCCACAGGCTGGCTGGTATAGCCCTATAACAGCCAGCCTGTGGCCGTGGGAGGTGGATGAATCGTGTGTTCCTAAGCGGGCAAATATACATAGAGCTGCATGTTTTTGTTAGACTTTCGACTTACGTTATTAATATGTTTTGCTACGCTGAAATGGTTTCCATCTTTCCATTCAAGAAAGCCTTTGCTGTTGTCCGAAACTTTTTAAGTCGCTGATTCTATTAGTGGAAAGGCTGTGTTCTTCTTCGAAATTTAATGGGTCAATTTATTTCCTTCCAGCAGAGACAAAAGCTTAACTAATTACTCAACCAAGTGCAAAAGCTAATTTGTACAAAACTTTTGTAATTTCCACGGTCGATTGACGAATGCCTGTTGGCACGTTGTATTTTTCCGTCTCGCATAATCCATCTATTCTCATTCATTACGTAATGATTTGTTGAATGCCTTCGAATGGCGCATTTCGGATTCACTTTCTGCTTGCAAGCGCAAGCTTCCTTTCGCCTCTAAACGGCTTTGTTTCTACATAAAAAGGCACATAACGTTTTTGATGTTGATTTGCTAGGAGGGCTCTACATTCGTAGAATCTGCCAGCGTTCAGCAAGGACAAAGAGACCGGGCTCTCGTGGCTGTCACGGCGCTATCCCTCATCGGCGTGCCCTCCGTTTCCAGCCGGTCTCACAGTCCGGCATTATCTGCCCCGGTGCGTCGAGCCGGGCCGGCGCGGCTGACCTTACCTGGCCCCGCCGCCGGTGGCCGGCGACCGTCACAGGTCGGTCGCACCGACGCTTGTCCTCCGTCCCCGCGAGGAGGACCGGGACGAGGGCTCAGGACTGGAGGGTCAGCCGGCCGGAGCGCGGCGCCGGCGGTCAGTCGGCCGGCCGCGCTCTCGGCAGTATCTGGCTGGCAGGCGGACGCTGATCTGGCCGGGGCCGTGCTCTGATTAGCTGCGGGCGGCGCGGGCCGGTCACGGGGGTGTCAGTGCGCGCCGCGAGCCAGAGCTCCGCGGCGGCGGCGCCGCGAGCCACAGTGAGTTGTTGAAGACGAGTGGGAGGTGATCGGTGGAACTCGACTGATCGGAGAACTCCCAGAGACACCAGGACTCACGTCGGACAGGCAACTCGTGAGAATTCTGGGGTTGTCACATTGCTGTTTTATTGGACTGTGGTGTGCTTTCGGTTAATGTCCTACTTTTGACGATCTTACACCGATTTTTGCAGAGTTTTGCAACCGACCAGCTGCCAACCTATGTGTTCATTTTCTGCTAATTGGCAAACATCATTCCTGACCCGATCACTGAGGAATATTGAGCATAACAATTGCAATTATACAAGCAGAAACAAAGCACCTAATCCTCGGAGGGTGTGCTACTTCCATGCCAACATTTTTGTCACAACAAACTGAACTTTTCCTTGTGATGAGCCGTGACGCCTGGTCTGGTCGACAATGTTCTGTTTGGCCCGGGTTCTGTGAACCCGCCGGCACTGTTGTTCATGCACCGGGGCCGTGGTCTGCGACTTGATACGGCGGCCGCCCGCTCCGGTCACGGGGTAACCCGCCGTCGAGTTGATACGGTGTGTGTCAGCAGATACGGACCGTACCACCGGATACGGGTGCACGTGGTGGCGTGCAGTTCGTCTCAGAGAAGTACGGTGGTGTGTAAAGGTGGTGGCTTTCTGGGCTTGGGTGAAGGGAACTGAATCCTTCGTCAGGCCGGTATTTAACTAAATGGTGGGACAAGTCCCTGACAATGAGCTTATGGTGGGTTCTTGCTTTGAGTGGCTTCCATAATTCACCCTTGAGCCGTCTGCACAGGACGGAAGCCTGCATTCAACACGTTTGGAACCGGATGGCGGCGTTAGCCGCTCCTTACACTGAACGGAAGCCGTTAATCTGCGGTTAACCGTAGCGATTGCGTCCAAATGATAATCGACTCACGGGCTGGACTCATGGATTGTAAGCCGTGATTCGTGGCCTGTGATTAGTGATTCGTGACGCCAGTCACGGACGTGAATCTGAGTCGTGACAAGATGTCTCCACTGGGTTTACCGTCAATAAAACTGTGAACGCAACAGATGACAGCTCGCGAGTTTTTCATGCGATCCTTGAACTCGCCGCTGCAGAAGCACAATTTTCTGACTTCATCCGTTTTTTGTCCAGAGTATTCCCGTTAAACGGAACTTTGCTAGTCGAATATGGTTGCATGTTCATATTTTTAGTTCACTGGTATATTGAATAATTAGTAGGGCACGCGAACAACAGTTTCGGAGTGAATGACTCGTCGTTGACTCATAGGCTCCGTCTGGCACACTCAGTTGCTGCCGTTGTCGATGGCGTGTTGCAGGTGACGGATGGCACCTGTGCCGCCGATGTGGAATCGTGTCGCCGCTCGGAGATCTCGCCCGAGGCTGTCTGCTCGGTGGGGCCGGGTCGATAGGACACTACCTGCGGGCACGGAAATAGGTCCTCTCCTGCAGGCTCATCCCGGGGAATTTTCCGCTGAAATTCAACCACAAAGGTCAAACACGCGTTAATGCATGTAGAGATGAATTATTCCATGGCGTTATTGATAGGAACCAGCTTGTTTGGCCGCGCAAAGTGCCTTAAAGTTAGACAAATTAATTATATTTTTTCCCTGTCAATTTTCTTCGTATTTAGCTACCTTTAACTAAAGCTAGAGCATTAAAAACCTTCCACGTAATCTCTTGCTTAAATAATTAATCGACTGTCCATTGAAAGAACGTTTTCAAAAATACAATTCATGTTGAGCAATGAATAGCATCGGCCGCTGCGGTTTCTCGTCATATCTCAAATACATCGCTCGCCTTCAGCATAGGCGAGCCGCCGAGGCATCGGCTGGCTCTGCGTCCCAACCACAGCCAACTCGTCCCTTGCAAAACCTTAGGGGCTGAATGCACCGACGCTTATCCGTTCACATTAAACGTACTGAAATTTACGGACGTGCTTACCAGGCATCTGGCCGAAGAGCTCTGCGGGGTGGTATTGCACAGCACTCGTTCTCAAGGTTCGTACTCGATCTCCTAGCTGGGTGTGGTGTGTGCTATGGGATAGGCTTTCTACTGCCGTTGTGGTGTTGTGCTGATGGCTCGAGTTGGCTGTTCCGATGGTGTCTGTAGTTATGATGTTGTATGATGCAAGCTGATGGTATTCAGTGTCTTGCTAGTGTGTGTGGTCCGGTGTGATGCATTTGTGTGATATGATGGTGTGTTGTGTTATGGTATGATAACATGTCTGACGACATGATGCTATGTTATGTGCCTTAGCGCAGTTGAACCCCCACATCGCTTTGCGCTTTGACCGCGGCACACGCTTCCCCCGCTCTCGCCTCTCACCGCTGCATCCTACCTACATGTCAGAGGCGGTATCATGTGTCACCATTCAGGGTATACCTCTGGACACGTGGCTCGCCATAATGGGGGAAACGCCCTCTCCTAGTCTGCGGACGTCTTCTTCGGCACGTTTGATCTCGGAAGAAAAATAAACACGACTGTGCTATTCTTGCACAGCTTAGGGTGTCTTTTTGGGGGGGCATTGCTCTGCGTGGAATGTAGGCATTAGGTTTTAAACCAGAACTCCCAACTTGCCATTCTTGTCAGTTGTTATCGGCAAATTTATTGATAATTGTCGCACAGGCATTTGAAATTACACATTAATAATTCCAATATCAATCAAAAAACTTTACGGTTCAGTTCAGACTTCAGCACCCTTGTATTTCTCCGCCATGATTCATAACCCATTCTTTCGCTGGGTTGCGGGCAGTGAATGCCACTTGTTGGCCACACGCCGCCCCAGTCTGTCACCGTCGATCCGGGTTCGCTATCTTCTCATCACGAGTACGTCAGTCGCTTCCACACGGAACTCTGCCGACTGCATACGACCATCCAGGAGCGTCGTACCAGTGCGCGATGTCGCCGACCCCCACCAGGAAAGGAAACGGGGCGACTCCTCGGGCGTAGATGTTATCTACAGCACCACTGATATTGTTAACCTATCCAAACAGTTCCGTCGAGAGGATAAACAGTCCGCTGTATTTGAGTTGTCGCAAGGAAGATATGATAATGTTAGACATTAGCGAATGACGGGATACTATTATGGACGCAGGAAAAGCGTGCAAGCACATTATGACATGTGATGCTTGGGTGTTTTCGCTTTTTTCATTTTTTACCCCCGAACCATTATCCAACGAACATTGCATTGAACACACTAGCGCGATTGAAGACTGCAAATCACGTATCATGTATATCAAAACATCCGCGATTCTGTCATACCCCTGAAAGACAGCCGTCTCTCCAACGTGGCCCTGTCTGGGAAACGATGGTTTATTTGCACCAAAGCTCGGCTCGTGCCGTGTGAGCTCGCCGGGAGTTCGGCCCTTCTCCATATCGCGCGTCTGTGCCTCAGCTGGAGGGGTGTAAACCCCGCGGACTTGGGCCCTTCGCTGCACAGGGGATGCACAGGGGACGACATTGTATTTGTTGGGGAGCGATCAGCACGCAGCGTCGGAACGATGTGGTGACGATACTGAAGATCTTCCCAGTCGGGAAATGCCGCAGCGATCAGCTCCGCTATCTTTTCCTCACGTGGACGTGTGTACACAAGAAGCGATCAAGTGGGACAGCGTTACTGTTTGGACAGAGAGCCACTGGTCACGGCGAGGCGTGTGGACAAAGATAATGAGGATATCGGAAATCTCGGAACTAATCTCGGAACGATTTCATTCCGCTTCGCCGAAATAGGGGCGTGGGCTCTTCAAACCGTTCGCACCCTCAGCATGGCCTAAGGAATGTGGGACAGTGATGACTTGCCCTGTCCTGACGTGCCTTGCGCTGCCCTGTCCCTGTTCTACCTTGCCCGCATCGTCTTCTTGTCTCGCTTTACCCTGTTTCACAGTCGCCGTGACCTGATGGCTGACATGACCGTGACCTGAGCTGCCCTGAATTGACCTGACCGTGACCGTGACCTCCCCCCTCTGCGTCCACAGGCGCAGCACCATGGTGTCGCTTAGCTTCACCTCGCTGACGACACTCATCAACCGGGAGGACCTCTCCGCCTTCACGTCGTTCCTCAACAACAGGAATGTCGCCGTCGACGACCGAGATGAGGTGAGTACAGGAACGCAGCCAGACATACACACATTGACCTCAATGTGATGTGATGAACTCTGGTATACGAATAGCTCTTCCCGGCCAAAAGTATCGACTTACGATATTTTTATAGGAATGCTGGTACTTCATTTGTAAATAAATTCGTAATATTTTCTGACGTAGGCATTAGTACCATCCTAGCGCAACTGTCCCTTGAGCAATAAATTATCATTCAATCCGGACAATGAAGTTTGCCTACGCAGTACATAACTATTTACTATCCGAGTAGTAGCTATGATAAGCTACCTGTCCGGGGTCATGTCCTTGGTGAGAAGCGGGCCCGCTATCCTCTCAGGGCATTTAGAGCCGATTGTTTCGTGGTAACCGTGTCGCTCCTTCTTTGTTTGCCAATTAGACCGGGTCCATATTATTCCTAATCAGCAGAGAGTGGCGCCAATGTGTTTGGTTTTGCCTGTTTGGACTTGGGACCGTTTTTTGCTCGTCCAAATTTGTGTCCTTTTTTGTATTGCCTCTCGTGCATTGTTTGGTGGGCCAAGCTTCCTTGAGAGGCTGACCGTCGCATATTGCTATTGTGCTGGCTTTCCTGCATATTGGATGATGGTGGTACACGCCGGGTGAACGAGTTAAAAATGGCCACGGACAATTATCACAGCGAAATCAGTGGGCAGGGGAATGACCTGAATTTTATTAATAACGTACCGTGATTGATGAGCGTGATTAATTGTTTACCGTCATACTCGAAAGCCTTCAACTTGATCACATTTTATTATGATGTTGTCAAATATCATTTTAATAGTCTATGCATTGCTTGACAAAACGTTGCAGCTGTCATCAAGTGACACAAAAATTCGACAAGTTGTGAATACTTGCGAGGACAATGACTGCCTGGATAGCTCGACGCAGTGATCACACAGTGATCAAGTGTGATAAAGTTGTACACTATATTTACATCATCGGACGTGAACTCTTGTCAAGAACACCATGGTGTTTACTGAATAGGAATGCGGATGTAAACATATGACCGTTGCAAGGGCCTTTTTAGGGATAAGACATTGAGCGCTTGGAAGCGCATATGGACGGAAATGTCCGCCCAAAACCCTCAACAACACACAGGCCTGGCATTGGCTGGCGAACCCTGGCGAAACACTGAAGTTTGAAATCATGTGTATTGCATGCCTTGAATTCCTTTTAGGATCAAATCCACGGTGGCCTGATGACCGAGTCTGTTACTGATGTATTTGCTGACTTTGATCGGTCACAGTCGGTTTGTTGAACCATATGCTTTCCAAGAAGACTGCATGCTCAGTGATGCCTTTTTGGTAGACAGACGGTGTCATTATTTTAACGAACCAGGGGTCCATTCCTTCATTATCTACTTCAATCCTTTGATGTTTTCCTCTAAGTCGGCTACATCTACTGCTGTTGGTCAGCTTCTTTCGGTCTCCGGTCTTCTAGCTATCGGTGCGGCACTGAAGACAGAGCCACCAGTGGCCCAAGAGGCTCTGCCTCCAACCCGTCCCCGGGAGACAGGGTGACGGGGAGGGAGGGGGAGGGGGCGCCGTACCCCGCTGGGTATGCGATCTCAATTCGAGACAGTTGGCCGGCGACACGGCTCAGTGGTGCCGGGGCCATCTCGAGGGCCGGTGGCGCGGGAGACGCGCCCGGATCGTACCCGGGGGTGGGGAAGAAAGGGAGGGGAGGGAACGTCCATCACCGCTTGACGGCGTCTGAAGTTAGATTTGTGTCAACACTGATAGGCACGTCACGCTGATACTGAGAAAAAATGAAGGATTGTGAGGCACGATCAGAAACTTGTGCTGGTTTTGTCGCGAAAGTTATCAAGGTTGTTGCCTGTATTCTGCAATTTTCTGAAATTTTGGTATTGTGTTTTCACACAAAAAGACCTACTTTTCTGGCTCTCATTTTTTTCTTCTAACAGGCACTTGATGCATTGCCGGAAGGTAGATTTCTGCTAATTGTTCAGCTGACACATCACGTCATGAAAGCCTCGCGTGTTCTCCTTTCTCTGTATGCCGCATTATTAATCAGACAGGGCAGTTGATGGCGTTATGTAATGAACTAATGTTGCCATGAATGTATTTTTATGGTGGGGGAGTTAATGCCTGTGAAAATAATAGATCATCTGAAGCAATCTTTAACAGATTCTGAAAAATGAAATCACATGTTTGGCTGGTTCAGAGAAACGTCGATGAAAATGTGTTTAAGAGACCGCCAGACGTTCATCAAGGAGGTGACGTTTGGATCAAGGATCTGACCTCATCAGGATATCTTCATACGTCATTGGACCCTGTCCTCCTGGCCCTGGCACCAGTGACCGTTGGTGCACCGTTTGTCAACAGAGGCGTCCGTTCCGTTTGAAAGGATAATTGTCCGCTCTCTCTCTCGTGCTGCCACCGCCCGTATTGTTTCATTTTCACGCCACAGTCGCAGCTCCATGGTAAACGGTCGCCTTCATTGTGATATCTGAGCCTATTTTTCTGGACACTGGCACTGCCTAATTGTTTTGGTTTGCCTTGTTTGATCACAATATGCGGTGCAATAGGCTGCCGACAAATTTTTGATGCTGTTGTTATGCGCTATTATTGCCTTTTGTTTGTCCCGTTTTCTGCTTGACAGAGCTGCTGATATTCTATTTTGAAGCAGCCGTGGCTGCAGGTTTACATTTTGCCACACTAGCTCGCTCATATTGCGGCATAATTTTTGTGTTTACTTGCATTCTGGTAGCCAAACATATATGCTAAGAACTTACAGCGATTTCTTTGCTGCTTTTGTTTATAGTAAGAAAGACATCATTGTTTAGCCGAACAGTTTGTACGGTTTTTATTTTAATGCCCTCTTTGGTGTACAGAAGTAGCACTAAACATGCAAAATTGCATTTGCATCATGCCTTGCTTTCCGTCGGTCTTTGTGATGCATTACATTTATTTGCTATCAATGTGTACAACTATTGAATCTCATGGCGCCCATTCCCATTCAAAAAGTTCGACCATTGAGGAAAATCCTGTAGCCTTGGAACAGTTATTGTGGCCACCGCAGAGGGGTCATTTCAGCGCCATTCACGTCATTTAATCGCCAGAATGTCTCGGCTGCCTCGGGCACGGATTTGCCATTTCGCTTATCAGCATTCACAATCAGTGCAGCGATCGTCCGCACGGCTGCCTGGTGTGGCTCTGGCTCCACCAGTTCTTCTGTGACGTCACCAATCCATCTGTGAAGTCACCTGTCTGTCTTGCCGACGGTGGGGGTAGGGGTGGGGGAGGGGTGATCCCCGGTGTTCGGCCCTCGGCCGGAGTGCCAGTGAACTGCATGACCTCGACTCCGGCGTCCTTCCGAGTCGCCTGTCTGCTGTCTCGGCGCTCTTCCTCCCCTATCCAGGCCTGTGTCGGCGTGGGACCCGCTGACGGACGCAGACAAAACCTGTCCTCTGACGGACTGCTGGCAGCCTCCGACAGACTTCTCGTTTGGACTAATCTCTGTCTGCCCCCGCCCCCTCCTCACCTGGCCCGTGCCCCTGTCCCCTGGCCCGCCCGCCCCGGCGTCCTCCGCTGCCGGTCGCCGGGTCGCTCGCCTTGTTCCCATTCCTGTGTCCGGTCGGAGGAGCGGGTGTGTCGCCGGGCTCACCGCGCCTGTCAGCGCACGCTGTCCACTCCTGTCCGTGCTCGGATGGCGGCGAACCGTGCCGAGCAGCCGTACCGCCGGCCCAGTCTGGTCATTAGCGGCCCCGTGTTCGGCCTTGGCTCTTCGGGCAACCTTTTGTCGTCCTTGCCCCTACCCCGTCCGATAGATAGAAACGAGAGGAAAAGAAACCAGCGGGATCGAGGGTTATATTTGCTTAATCCTGGAGGTTCAAGCTACTTCAAGGAAAAGTGATTGGGCATCAGGCGGTGGCCATCATCTTGATGGATGGCTGATCAAAACAGCTATTACGATCAATGATGCCTTGGCTTTCTTGTTTTACTCCCAAGTTTTATATGATTTTAGTGATGTCATTTTTCTTCAAACCACCACCATTCCGATTATCACTCATCAATGTAAAAGGCTCGTAAACGGAATACCGATCAGTTACAAGTTTTCTGATCACGTCTGTAACCAATTTGAGCTGATCAGTTCCAGAGAAACGGTTACCGCACAATGTCCCGTGCCATGCTCGCCAGTGCCTGCGTGATTTCCAGCGTTCGGCCGTTGCGCCGCTGATCGTTGCATATGCTAAGTCCACCCTTCCCGTGAGCGTCCGTGAGAACAATGGTTCGGATCCGGCTCGATCGCACCGGAACTACATATAGGGAAAACTTAGCCAGCGGGACCAGTTCGCAGAACACTTCTGGAGACGCTAATGACTGCACATTGTCGAGACTGTCCGTTTTCCTGAGACGAACTGATGAGGGGTCGCAGCGGTGCCCCGTGGCGTCAGGTCGGCCAGGCACAAGCATGGAGGTGTTGTTCCATGAGCGCCTGGTGGAGAGTGCAGCCAAAATACACACGGGAAGCGGTGCATTTGTCTCGATAAAGGATAGAAAACGATTTATCGATTAGGTGGCTCAAAGGTCAGTGAAAAGGATCCATAGCAACGAACTGTAAACAGTGGCAATCGGAGATGTGAGCAAGCGCATATCGCCAACCGCGGTATTCAATATTCATAGGATCGAAAACGAGCTGCGCTAAAATTGGCCTGTTTGAATTTCCTGAATTGTTGAAAAGCATGTTACGGGAAAACATCGAAGGTGTGATTGGATCGCTTTGAAATTATGATTTGTTGACGTTGGTATCTAGCGTCCTTCCACTGATACATGCATCCTTCGTGTATCGGTTGACTATTTTCCCTGTTTCAATTAGAGCATTCATTAGCTCGTCTCCGCCGTTCTTTAATATTGACACAATAACTTTTGCATCTCACCTATCATCGCCGTTACTTCATCATAGACAGTGCAGTTGCTACAGCATCTGCTGACTTCTGAGAAAGTGATTAATTATTGAGTTACTGTAATAAATGTTATGGTATGGAGTATGGACGACTCACTCTTGTCCTAAGTATAGACCCCACTACTGCATAACGATCACGCCGTCTCCGTACCATATCTTCCACTGCACTGCCTTTTCTGCTCGGTCCGCCCTGTCAGCGGTGATCGCCCGCCGAACCATCGGCCCCGTCACCGGGCGTCCATGCCTAACCAGATACTCAGATGCTACACGGTCACGCCACCTGGTATTGACACCGCCGTCGCGTCGCTGGTGTCGAACTGATATTGCTATTCGGAAGTGCTAGTAGTAACTAATAAGGTTTGTAGTTGTGTGCAGGAACTCGTATCTATATTCGTTTTGCCGAATTTTCCACTTGGGTGCAGTTACACATACACATTTTCTATCCTCGTGAGAAATCAGTTGCACCTGCATATGCACCTGAATATGCGACTGTTGGGCGAAAAACATCGTCCAAACACCGGAAGCTACCTGTCTGAGTAATTCTTTACTCAGTGGGACACCCGAAGCCCCGCATTAGCCCGTTTGCCGATGACTCGCCGGTTCCACCCGGACGCCACGTGCACATGTGGTGCGGCCCTGCCAATACCGACCCCTCCCCACCAGCGCCGCCGTCGGTCTGGGCCGGCTTCCGTTACCAGATGGTTGACCTAATCACGCCGCTGCAACCTCCCCCCCACATCCCCACGTTCACCCCCTACTGCCGTCTCTGCCACCACCACTGCCACCACCGCCCCGCCAACGATCGCCGCTGTGCTTCCCGACAATCTTCTGCCGTGTTTTCCGCTGGGACGCCATTGTCCGCGGCTGCCAGTGATCGGGTCGCGTCCGCCGGCCGTTGGCGGACGTGTGTGGCGGCCTGTCACTGAGTGTCGGCTGTTGACAGGCCACTGAGCCCAGTGTCCGGACGGTGTCTGGGTCCGGATGGAGTATCAGGACCATTTGTTCACGGGATTATAAACAGTGCAGCAGGCGCTGAGGGCTGTGGCCACATACTGACCCTGCAATGGACGGCCGAGTGCCGGGCTGCTGCGGCTGTGTTGAGAGTCAGGTTGCTGTGTTGTGATGCATATTTGCACAGCTCTGGTATGATTTGTTTGATTTAGCGACATACGAGTACGTTCATAGTTGTTGATGCTCATGATCCTTCGAAACGTGTTTTGTCTTCCAGCTCTACCAATGATGTTTTACAGCTTTACTTCTGGGTTAAAAGAAAGTTCAGCAAAAGGCTGATGCGAACAATTAATCTTATTTTTGCAATGTGTTTTTCCTTGAAATTATTTCGCATATGCCTCACATACTGATCTCAGGCAGCTTTTGCCAAATTGTCAGGGAACTCAGATTTGTTTTTCAATAGAAAAACACAATTATAAAGAATAGTGTTTTAACTATTGACAACAAACCTTCGGTTATAACGGGCTTTTGAAGCTGTCTATTTATACAGCTCGATTAATTCACACACCAAAACTAGCTCCAACCACACGCCGGCTAGACAGTCCCGCAGTTATTTAGTCGTCGTTGCGTTCCTCCCGCTGACCTGACCTGACCCGTTTGTCTCCGACAGAACGGCACGACGGCCATGATGGTGGCGTCGGAGAAGGGCCACTCGGCCTTCATCCACGCGCTGGTCGAGTTCGGCGCCGACGCCACCCTCTCCGATCTGGTGAGTGACCCCGGAGGGATCCGTGACCTCAGTGTGACCTGTGACCTTAATGTGACCTGACCTTATTGGGATCCGTGACCTCAGCGTTATCTGACCTCGGCGAGATCTGTGAAGTGGGTGGGATCTTTCAGTTCAGCGAGATCTGTGATCGTAGTGGGATCTGTAACGGAAGCTAGATGTAATTATAGCTTGTAGCATCATTGAAATTGGTGCTAAATTGGTGGGGATCAATTGCCTCATCGTAAACTCCGCATTATCAGGACCTTTTATATCAACTGGTGACAATGTCATGAACCCGTACCTTGGATCTCGTGACCCGATGGCCCGTGACCTCGACACCTGGCGGACCAATCACTCAGAGCGGGCTGGTTGACGGATGAATGGGATATTAAATCTGACTTTTACCACCTCCAAACCCCACCATCACCCAGGTGCTCCTCGCCACTGTGCTCTCCGATTGTCTATTAGGGGCAGCCCAGTCACCTTATATCGACTCGTCCTTCATCCACGGACGGTCATTAGGTCACCTCTGTCCAGCATTAACGCCGAGATGGGATAATGTAGTACGGAGCCCGTCTTATCAACTCCACACCCCAGTGACGTAATGCCTATTAGTGACGTCACCGGGTCTCGTCGTCTCTCAGTTCTACTGGCGGGTCCATCGGTTGACTTGGTCGCGGGATCGAGGTCTGTAAGGACGTTACCTGTGAGGACCAGCTGAAGTTCCCGTGATTTGTGATGGCTGGGTTTGACCGAGCTGATCACTGGTTTTTAGGTGTACCGTCCTAATTTGATAAGCTACTTGAGTGCTCCCCGTCCGTAACAGAGGCATCACGCACTGCTCTGTGCCCAAGTCGTGGTGATCCTTTTTTATTCGTATCCAAACAAAACTATCTCCCACTCTAGTGGCTGACGCTTGACCCAGTGATCCCAAAACCGGCTAGTATTGGTGTCAATAAATAGTAGCGGGATGGTCGTTAACAAGGTAAATCTAAGCGGAGTGCATTCTTCCACTGCACATAAACAAAACACGACATGAAGCATTGGACAAGCATACGTTCGTAGCACTTGAGTCGCGAGAATGCTCACGAATGCCAACAGTCATGTTATGATTTTTCCTTAAGGCCGTGTTACACTACCGAATTTTGGCCACGACCCTATCGCCGAATCACGTCGTGTAGGAAATCGGCGAACAGTTCACCGACAGAGGCGAACAGTTCGCCGACAGAGCCCGATTTGCAGACAACGAGTGGGGGCCCCCCTAATCGTGCGCGGGTCGAAGCTGATCCATGATTCGGCGAACATCGCGAATGAATGGCGAATCTGTTGCGAATAGTCGGCGATACCTTGGCAACAAGTCGGCGCACGTAGCGACATGTCGGCGGTGACTCGGCGAGTGTTTGGCGATCATGTTCGTTTATTATAAGTTCGGCGAACGGCCACGAAATTTTCATTTTTCATGAAATATTCGTGGCGGTCGTGACGAACCGTAAAAGTCGCGCGGTGGGCACAGACTGGTCTGCGAAATGCCAAGACCGTGGAAGAAAGATCCCGAATCGGTCCGCGACATAGGATGACTTGCATATTCGTGCACATTCGTGTACCAAAATTCGGCAGTGTAACAAGGGCTTTAGCGAATAGGGATATAAGATTCTTAAGCTTTTGGCATCTCGATATTCCTAATGAGTTCACCAGTATTTTACACCAGTATTGTACATTGTTTCTTCATATATTTGCGAGACCCTTTGATTAGTTATGGAGAAGGTCAACACTTTGTATTCTTGTTGTGGTATTTTTTGTTGTGGTATTCTATAACTTATCAGTATCAATTATCATTTCGCTGCAATCCGGAATTCGGTGCGGCCTTGAAATATCGTCTCAGCGGCGTCACGTTTCAATCAACCTAATTACATACTTGATTCCTGGCAGGTATTTCCGATATTTTTTTCAGACCGCCTGTGTTTGTGCCAAAACTTCAAGGCCTGAGTTTTGTCTAGTTGTCGGCTCAGCCTAAGCATACTGACCATGGACAATTTTACAGCCAAACAGAGGCAATAAACGCGTCTTTCGCGTCTCTTTATCCGTGTCCGGTCGTGTGGTGTCGATCGTTTCTATGGGCTGTGTCAGCCGACGTGTGACCAAACTGGTCAGTTGGTGACGCCCGCACGTAGCTTCTCTCCAAGGTCGCTTCCTCGATATGAGTCTTCTTGGTAACGAATCAGCCGTGAAATGGCTTAATTGTTTACCGCCTGGCGGGATACGCCTTGAGGCCGAACTGGCATCGGTGGCCTTTCCGGTTTTTGGCATGCTTCACAAAGTGCTAAGGCCGAAGACCAAACTAAAAGACCAACATACTCGTAGTGCCTACGCCGAATCTCCTCGTACATGTTTCAGGCTTTTAGATGTTTGACTAAGTTTTTGTTTCTGGTCAGAGTTTGATTAACTTCTTACATGAATAACGGTTGGCTAGATGTTACGTCAAACATTCTTTTCCTACAGCCTGCCCACGTGCTTGTTGATTCTCAGAAGCTTTGTGATAAATGGATTGACACTTGACCAATTAGAGAAGTCGTACTTCCCTTACATGGAACGTTGATCAGAGATCGGGATACCTCTCGGTTCTTATCAGTTCGTCAATCAGAGACATCTGCCTTTTATTTACCCAAGGACAATTATTCCAATAGTTATCTGAGTCAATCTGCTGATAGGAGGGACAACTACGTGTGCCTAGGAGATAGTTTACAGTCCATCTCCGTCCTTGACGGTCAAGATAATATTACTTACAGCTTATGCGTGGTTGTGGTTTTTCGATGAGTCTGATCGAAGCTTGAAGAGATCTGATAACATTTTCGACGAATGCGTCCTCCGGGATGTGAAGGAACTCGTTCGTATCTTTGACTGATCTAACTCTATTTTCGTGTGACGTTTTGTATTGATGCCTACCTAAGGTCTGCCTCAAAGTCTACAGTACTTCCCCATCTGTCAACTGCAGACGGGTATTCGGACGTCAGGACCAGGCTAGGAATGTTTGCAGTGCGTATTTCTGGTCCCAGACACCCTGCTACTTCCTCTATAGCCGAGGGCTGCCAGACTACCGCTCTGTGTGATCGACCGGTCCGGCCTGCCTCGGATAGCCGTGGAATGTGAGGACCACGACCACGAAATGCGCCCCCGGCGTTTACGGCATCGCCGGCACGTTTTTACGCCCCGCCGTAAAAGTTTGTGGTCATCACATCTCGGCTGCCGGGCCGGCTCGGAAGACGGCCGCTGGATGGCGAGATGGTTCGTATTTCTACGGGCCTTTGTCGGATAAACTTTTTGTTGACCAGTAAATACAGACCTGTGACGTGATTTCATTCCAAAGTTAATGCTTAAAACCTTTTTTGTAAATCACCATTTTATTGTTACGATTTTCCGACGTAGTAATATGACGCTTAACGCGACTGAAATTTTCAGCTCAGGTACGTTTGCATTATCATGCCCTGGTTCAGTCTCGTTGTCTTCAGCATCTTCAGCAACGACGCGTTGTCTTCAGTGAAGAAATTGATCGAAAACTGTCGGTCTGTTCTAATGACGTGAGCCTCGCTGACGACTGAATGCAGCAGCATCCTGCTAACGCTACCTGCTCAAACATGCATCCACTGAACAGTTGAAAAAAGGTAGTTGTGCTCGCATTGATTCTTCTTTTATCTGTACGATCGATGCGCCGAGTCTTACTCACAATCCTGTCCCGGGCGCTCTTCCGTGTGTGATAGTGCCAGCCCGTATTGCCGGCGCAGATCCGTGTTATGGAGCGCCGCCTGGCACCCCGCTCGCGTGGCTGCTGACCGCAGAGTCCTGTTGGATCCAGCTGCCGGCGGCTGCCGCCCACGTAACGCCATCGAACCCGACCAGCTGGTGCCGTCATCGCGTCACGTGACTCACCCCGGAGACCGACCGGGCCGGTCACTGATCGCTGGTCGGTAGGTGGTGGAGGGCCCTGGTCCTGGCCCTGGTCCTGGTCCTGGTCATGTTCCTGGTCCTGGTCCTGGTTCTGGTCACGGTCCCGCTCCCGGTGTTCGTTGCCGTTCCGAACTGGCTCAATTCCAATAGGTTATGGTATGTAGGATAGTCATCGGTAACGGCGTATTGACGTGTGGTTCCGTCGCGTTGTTTTCATGTGGCGACGGCGCGATGAGTCAGTGATTTTTGACAAGTTGCATGAAGTTTTAGCATGTTTCATGCGACTTATGGCTATCGCTCAGCTTCATGGAATTGGCGTTCATGTTCTGGGAATCCAGGATACTGCAAAACAACCATCGATGGCTATGCTATTATCCGCTTAAAGCAAGGCTAATGTGTTAGTCATTTAAATCGTGATTTAGTGTGACTCAGTGGGAGGATTTCTTATTCCTTGGTGCATTATTACAATATTTTTATATCCCGTCGTCTACTATAGCTGTCCGTCAGCCCCCACAATGTCGATGTCACTGTCTGTGCCATTTCACGAAGCACAGCCACAGTGCTATGAACCCAACACCGTCATTCATCGCCTCATCTCACGCATCCCTGTGGTCCGATTGACCAGGAGGAGTTTATTTATCGACTGACCCGTGATCACAAAGGTCGCGGATCACAGAGTTCCTGCATATTTCTTCCCCGTCGGGGCCCGCCCAGTCATTGTGTCTCACTAACTTTTACGCTCTAGTTCAATTCTCGCTTCTTGCTCTGTGTTTTTTTCCTCCTGTGTCCACCCATCGTATCTCCTTGCCAACTTCTGGTAACCGGTCCTTGGGAAGGTCGCTCGGGTGCCCTTGTGAGTCACCCTGTCGCCGGCGCCCTTCTGCCGTCTGCGCTGCCCCCCGGCACATGTGGCGGGCCACGAGGTGACCCCGTGCCGCCGCTGTCCGGCCCCCGGGTCATAGGGATAAACTGTGTTTGGACTCGCCCGCGTGCTGTCTTCTCAGAGAGACAGACGGGTGCGACGGACGCGCCGTGGTGGGTGGGTCAGTGAGGAAATGGCGCGGAGTGAAGGAGCAACGGCCGGACGCCGGGCGTAGGATGGGTCGAGACGACACGGACCGACCTGGGACAGACAGGGGATGGGACAGACACCGAGATGGGACTGAGATGGGATAGACAGGGACGATTGAGGAGCGGCACTGGGCGTGACATTACCAGAGTGCTGTATGGACAGGAGGGTCGGTTCTGACATGAGTTATGACAGCTCTGTTCCAGAGGCGGCATGGTAAGCGCGCCTGCTTAGTGACAAGCCTTACTAGCAGCTTCCAGTCCCAATCGAAACTGTTTCGTATAAACAGTTGGTGGCGCTATCGCCCAGCTGTTTGACTGGTAGTCAGCGCCGGCTGTCGCTAACTGGAATTTGCACTGCTGATTCACAGCAAATCGTTAGCAACAATATGCTATATTATCAGCAATTATTTGATACCCGTGGCTTTATAAAACACTGTTTTCAATAACCCGTACCTGTGGTGGGGATATTATCCAGACTGATTACATCGACAAGGACCGAGATCTGAATGACAAGCGTCATCCATGCTTTTTTGTTGTCATCGGCAACCAATATTGGGAGGACTGCTGACGTGCCGAGCCCCAGCAGCCATTGGCTGATCGATTCATTCACTATTGATTTCCCGATGCTTTGAGCGTTCGATTTATCGATTAGATGAATGAACAAATAGCACCGACCAAATGCCGCCGGACATGTACATATGTAATACCGTGGCGATCCGAATCATTATGGGATGGTAGATGTTAGCACTATGATGATTGGTAAAGTTGAGGTCCGTGTGCGAATATCGCCTGGCGCTGGGCGTAACTGGCGATTGACGGTTTTGCATTGCCTGTCAACTTCATTTTTTTTTTTTCAACCGTTTTCGTACATTATTCACTTTCGTTCCTAAATGGGATGACAGAAATAGCTATGTGGATCGCGGGCATCAACAGTCAAGCATTCATGAATCCTAAATATTTAAAACAGTTTTTGACACTAAAGACATTCCAGTTAACAGGTGTGTGGAACATGTGTATTCTCATGTGTATTCTAACCTAGGCTGATCCTCGTAGTTTAATTTACTCAACAATGGCCTGCTTCATTGCCCGCTATAATCAGATCCTACTCATTCAAAGTTCAGTGGGATGAGTATGGAGGAGCACACCTACTGCTAAGCTAACCTCTTTGGCGGAGGTCAACAGTGTGGCTGCTGCTAGGTTTTCTATACAGAATGTCGTTTCCCGTCGGCTTATGCAGGCTGACGACTTTCATATATTGTTTAAGATGCCGGCTGCACCTTTTGTCTTCAAGCACGGAGCTGAGATATAGCCCTCGATCGTTTTCGTTGCCGTTCACCGTCTCTTCCTTCTGACTTGCTTTGTCCTTCCACTGCCCTGCCTGGTCGATGTCCTACCCCCTGATAGAACTGTTACCAGGCGCCACACTTCAGTCGACCCGCGCCCGAGCGGCTAATGAGAGCTGTCAGCCGTCCCTCGGCCCTCCTGTCACCAATAACGGCTATCCACGCCTGTGAAGTGCAGTCACGGGTCACAGAGGGGGAATAATGACCTGTGACGTCTGCCTGTGTCGAGCGGTACCGGGACAGGGCGGTTTGAACCGGTGCTGGCCGGTTGTGGAGTCCTAGAACCGTTTGTTGGAGGCGGGGTTGGGTTGGAAGCGGGATACCGGTGCGGTATGATGGTGAGGCGTGGCGGGTTAATGGTAGGACATGAGTTATGGACGGTAGGCGTCGTGTTTTCTAGGAGCGTCGCGGGGATACCTACATGGGAGTGTGTCGGGTAGAATGCTTCTCTGTAGATGCTGGTGGTAGATGTCTTGCGTGGGATCTCAGACATTGACATCAGATGCCAAATGATGTGTAACACTGCTAGCACCACCCGTGTTAGGTGGCTCTGGTTCTCAGTGAATTACTGCTGACTGATGACTGTGTTTTGTTCGCAGGATAACTGGACGGCGCTGCATTTCGCGGCGAAGGAGGGTCATGTCGCGTGTGTCCGAGAACTCCTGGAGGCGGGAGCCAACACAGAAGCCAAAGACATGGTCAGTGAGCGTCACGAGTCACCCCCTGTGGGCTAGGAAGGTCGCTGGTCGGCTGTGATACCGCCCGCATTGGGTAACCTCGGCCTCTTTGATTCGACGAAATTGCAGGTAGTGAGATGTCCGTACTTGTCTCGGAGTTTCTGAAGTGGACTAAGTGGGCTTCGTCATCGTAGTTTGTTATATCTTCCGATCGGACGGCACTTGGCAACGGTGCCATATCGCGGGGATTGATCAATATCAAATCGCAGATATCGGATGAGATGGCGAGGGAGCTCGCTATCCTCTGAATATAGGAAGTGTCATGTGATAAAGTTTTGATTGACATTCGCAGTGATTTAAATTCATATCATGTAATTCACTGTACTTGTGTCATTTTCTGATCCCCAAATTTGTTATCCGTGCCACCATTATCCGCCCTTATATACGTGAAGCTGTGATGTAATACGCTGTAGGTATGATCCAAGCTACGGTATTGGCGAGCCCAATCCTCCTGTAACGCCGTCGGTGACTCGTCTATCGCCGTTTTCTCTGGGGATCAGAACGTCACCCTCCCTCAGACCGAGTGACGTTTGTGACCGGTCACTGGGGACGGTGGAGAGTGGTGCTGTGGGGCTGTGGGGCTGTGGTCGGGGTTTAGGAGTGTATGGTCTGTATGCGGGATCCGTGTGTGGTCGGAGGCAGACCGGGGCGGTTATCTGCCGCTTTGATGTTTGTTACCATGTGTGGTGGGTGGTATCTGGTCAAGGAGAGTGCAGGTCTCTGTCACTGCTCCGACCTAGTTTTGAAGTACCTCGTCCCTGGTTAACCCTGGCTATCATACTGTGATAACCAAGGAACTGTGATAATATCACAGCATAGTTAAAGCACTATCTTGTGTTTATATTTTCTTGACCAGCGCCGCATATTCTCTAAGCCCCCGATGGCTGCCCTCCGCGCCTACGTGGCTTTCATTCTACCGTCCCCACTGACCTCTCCTCTCTCCCCCAGGGCGGGTGGACACCTCTACTATGGGCCGCCTACCAGCACCGAACCGAGACCGTACGGACATTACTGGAGGCCGGCGCTAACGCCAACGTGCCCGGCCAGCACCATATGACGGCGCTGGTGTGGGCCGCCGGCCGCGGCTACCTGGACGTCGTACAGGTGCTGCTTCAGCACGGCGCCAAGGTCAACATCAACGACAAGGTCAGTGCACGGGTCACGAGGTCACGACACTGGGAGGCGCGGAATACGAATGCGGGCAACTGTCGTGTGTGTGGAATTTGAACCGCTCGTCTGATTGATGGTTTGTTGGAGGAAGCTAGACGAGCATTTGCTGTAGCGTTTGTGTGCAAATCGGGACGTTTTTTGAAGATGTTCTCGTTCCGTTATCGGCCCCTCCGTGTCTGTTTGCCGTACGGCCGTGTGCCAGTGGTGCGCGGTGGTCGGAGGGTGGCGACTAGCCAGGACCGCTCCGCCCCTTATCAAATGGTAATTCGCGTTCAGAGGCAGTCGGCCGCTGCTCTGGACCGTATAATGCGACACGATGCAAATACCGCCCGGTCGCGCCGGTGCCGATGTAGCGTTATGCTGGTGTCTGCTCCCTACCAATCAGAATGTGGATCAGCGGCCGTGACGTCATCCGGTGTTTTCAGTCCCCACAGCCCGGCGGTCTCTCATCTAGACACGGTTCAGATCGCTTCCCCGTCGTTTTTTTACTAACGCTTTGTTTTGCTTGCGTTGGCTGTGGCCGGGAGTTGGAAACCATTTGGCAAAGCGTGCGTGTAATATTGGAATAGGCGCAACAGTGCGGTTTCGTTAGAGATTAAACAACCCGAAATCACACTCGTGCTATGGCGAACTTGAAGGCTATGCCGCCTCGATAGCTGCACAGTTCGATTAGTTATCATTTCAATGAGACTGAGAGTGTCGACGGACCCGTTTCAGTGCACGCGACTGACAGTGTCCGTCTGTCCATCGAAACTGCGCAACGACAAGACCTCAGCAGCCGATTAGGGCATGTGACGAAGCTGGTGGACATACATGCGCAATCCGCATTGCATACGTACAGTCTTACGCCCCCGAGTGTCCGTTCTGTGGAACTGATGCTTCGTTAGCGCCAATAGTGTTTTGGGGAAAACCCTGGGGTTGGGAGAAGTGAATATTTTAAAGTGTTTCCTGGTATTGCTGGTGGGAGACAGTTGCGTAATTGTTCCTTGAGCAGCCTTCGGTCGACTGCTCTTACGACTATCTCGGTGGGCGATAACTATAACAATGCTTTTGCTGTGTTGGAGCGTGATTGAGATGATTGTGTTGCTGTCCAACATCTCACTAGGCACTGTTTGAAATAGCTTCCGTACCCGGAACCGATATCGGATGACATCAGACCGTCTGGTCATCTTACCGCCGTATCTTACCGTCAAACAGCTGCGTCTGACCATCTAACCACCGCATCTGGCCATTTGTCCGCCGTTACCAAAGGCTCTGTGCCTGACACCCCTGCTTTGTATTCCCAGTTTGGTACGTCGCCGCTCATCTGGGCCTGTCGGAAAGGTTTCACCGAGATCGTCAGCGAACTACTCAAGGCCGGAGCCAATGTGGATGCCTCGGGAATGGTGAGTTGTACACACAACATTCTAAACTATAAACATTCTAACATTCTAACATTCTAAACTTATAGCATACGTGGCAAGCAGCACTGACAATAAACACGGGTAACTTAGGGCTATGTCTAATGTGTTTTAATCCATATGTAGCGTATGCCAGTCGAACAGTTATGCTCTGTTGTCAGGTACAGGAGAGTTGGGTAAGAGTGGAGTGAAGGGGGAGGGGATTCTGATCATCCGTTGGGCATTGATAGCATCTATCAGATTGTCGTCAAGTACTGGGATCGTTGTCAAGAGCAGAGCAGTCACGTCTTGTACTTTGTTTATGCTCGTGTATCATTGGAACCCTTTCGTACATTTCTCGTAATAGATGGTTCACCATTTTGTCTAAAATACTTGTTTTCACCGTCGACTCCTCTCCGAAGCCCTACCCCTTGCTGTCGCTGCCAATAATCTGGCAGTACTATCGACATCACATCAGGAACCAGACGGCAACTGTGGTACCGATATCCCGACCCGTCACCCTATCCGTTTGTTTGTCCACGCGACTTCTCTGACCGATCGGCCACCCTTTCATGCCTTCTCAGAACATGCAGATTGTGTCGTCATCGATTGCCGCTCAGTGCTCACAGCGCCTTACTCTGAACCGTTCGGTGATTGGTTGAACTGGGTGACGATATACCGAACACGCTGTTGTGTCGCGGGCCCTTCTACAGTGCCCAGTGCTGATTGCACATCTGTCTTTCTGCCCTGCCTTCGCCGCCCCGACCCCACCCCGCCTCCGGATGTCTCCTCACTCCCATCCTCTTCCGTTTCGCTATCTGCGGCAACATTACGAAACAACCGGTCTCCACGGAAGCTCTTCCGGCCATGACTGCTCTTATCTGCCGGCTTCTACGTATTTCAGACTCCTAATTCTGTAGCATTCGAACTAATTGTCCCGGCTTCATTCCGTCAGGTCCGGTGACCTAGATTGATCGCCCTAATGATCGCTAGTTGTTTACAAACAGCTAACGAGCAGACGCTCATCCCTAATCTCTCTCCCCGGGCGGCCTTGCCTTCCACATTCGCTCATTTTCTCCCTCCACCCTTGAGTTCACTTTGCCCCTTTTCTCCTCCCTCCCTCCATCTTTCTTCTCTGCTTTAGTACTCTGTATATTTTACCGATCTTTCCACGCATCTCACTACCTTTGATACCCTTCCATCCCTCCGCACTACTGCTGCACTCCCCCCCCCCCCAGCTAACTACCACCACAACACACACTCGACTCTACCTCCCCACCCCGTCCCGTTTCCGCAGTACTCGTGGACGCCACTGCTGCTGGCCGTCAAGGGCGGTCACACGGACATTGTGGACATGCTGGTGGCGCACAAACCCAACCTGAACGTGACGGACAAGGACGGCATCACTCCGCTCATCATGGCCGCCAAGGAGGGAAGCTACGAGATCGTGTCGACGCTCGTCTCGGCCGGCGCGTATATCAACCTGCAGGTGAGCAATCGGGGTGTCTGATCTCCCGTATGAGAGGTTGTGAGGAGGGCTGGAGATAGGGATGAATAGGGAGGTCTGTGTGGAGGCATACGGCTGTGGTTGTGTCATGGAGAGAATGAATGACGATAAATTGTATGTAAACCGGCTAGAAGATTGATGTACTGTTCTAGTGCTATCTTTCAGTAAGTCGGTTTGATATTTAGACTCGACTTCAGTGTCTTGGATGTTTCCTTTCGCCACTAAAATGACGCCAGGTGAAGTATGGTCCGTCAGACGTTACATCCGACCCAAACAGACCTGCGACCACCCGGTGAAACCAGTCCACACTGATCCTCTGGGCGAGCCAGCCGTGCTGACGCGTTAGCCTCTGTCGCGGGTTTATCAGGAGACGGCTGTCGGGCTGACCGAGTGGTGCCCCTCAGCGGACACGCTGCGTTAGTGCGGGTCCGTCCCGGTATCGGGTCACCTGATCAGGATCTGCGGGCCGTATGAATATGCGGGCCTCTATGGGACGACGGACTGAGAAGCGGATACGACGTCCAGCCTCCATGGGGACATTTAATGGCACCAGGTGATCTGACATTCGCAATACCATTAAAGCGCGGCCATAAACAACATCCTGAGCTGGTAGATGCTGGCTGTGTCCCCAGTGGAGATGTGACATTTAGAGCGGGAAGATGCCTGGTATATGGCCCGCCATGTGGACGCTGCCCGGTGTTTTAACGATCGATCGCTGCAAAATAAGGGTAAATATAGATCAGTAGAACGTTTATGGCTCCCATGGGAGACGCTGTATTGATTTTAGTCGGTTTTATCCGTAGAACGTTTATGGCTCCTATGGGAGACGCTGTATTGATTTTAGTCGGTTTTATCCCGAAAACGTTCTGAATAATTGGTTCGTTTGCTGTGACGTGTCAGTCATCATTCATTGTAGTTCCATTGCCAGGTACGGTTTCTACTATGGAATTCATTACACGACACGTTCCAGTCAAGTTCAGATTAGAACATCCCGAACAATTGGCTATTACTGTTCCAGGTCAAATACATTCATAAAGGATGAAAACCACAACCACGCACATCGAACCGGACACTAACACAATCAAACACTTAACATACCGAACACATGTAAAACGGCACGATCACTATGTTTAAGTAGATCTAAAACAGATTTAAGAACAGCGAACCACGCTACATTGCGTGCACATGTTGTGCGCATTCGGCGCCGCCATAAAAGCGCTCATTGTGGCCGACTCCCGGACAGACGGTGGTAGTGAGTTCCACGCTGAGGCTGCACGGCGAGAAAGCGCATGCACTCAAATTACATCTGTGCAGCAAATGTAATTCACTCCTGTCCATGGCTGGCGTGCATCTCAGCGATGTGTTACTCCATCGGGTGAACATTTCCGGGATCGCGACCGGTGAGTCAGCGTAAGTCAGCGCGCTAAACACTTAGACAAGATCATGACGCTCTACCAGAGTCTCGATCTTTGACCACTTAAGCTGCTGAAGAGCCGGTGTAACGTGCTGACCCTCTCCCCTCCTCTGCAACTCTCCCCAGGACCGGAGCGGTGACACGTGCCTCATCTGTGCGGCCCATAACGTGCTGATCCTCTCCCCCGCCTCTGTAACTCTCCCCAGGACCGGAGCGGTGACACGTGCCTCATCTGTGCGGCCCATAACGTGCTGATCCTCTCCCCTCCTCTGTAACTCTCCCCAGGACCGGAGCGGTGACACGTGCCTCATCTGTGCGGCCCATAACGTGCTGATCCTCTCCCCCGCCTCTGTAACTCTCCCCAGGACCGGAGTGGTGACACGTGCCTCATCTGTGCGGCCCGCGGCGGTCACGCGCAAATCGTGGAGATTCTGCTGAAAAAGTACGCCGACATCAACATCATCGGAAAGGTGAGGGGTTTAAAGTCTGCCAGTCTGAGGTGGCATCAGACTGGCGCTCATACTGCATTCTGTCAGTCTGAGACGGCATCAGACTGGCGCTCATGCAGTAGAAGACTGCAGTCTGTCGTCTGAGCCGGCGTCAGACTGACGCCCGTCACAGTGGAAGTTGTAGGTTTTGATTTCTTTGTATTATGACTTCGAACTTGCACGGCCTTTCAGGAAAGCCGATACAAGTTGGTTAAGAATTGGCCGTTGTCCGTCTTTAGAAATGCTTCATCGCTTCAGATTAATGGGTCTTTCTTACTTAGAAAAGGTGTCAGGTAGTCCCAAACATTGCTGGCATTTCCGATCGGTATATTCGGTAGTTTACCTCTTTTTCAAGAGGGATGTGGTAGTTTATTTCAGTTATGCTTAGCTCAGAATCGTTCACGCTAGACAGGGACATAAAAGATAGCGATATTGCGGCTTACGGATATTAGTCTCATCAAATGATAAGTCTTGATAGACCTCGAAGACTTCAGGACATCTGGAAATGGCTCGGTCATTCTGTCGGATTTTCCATCTGTCCAGTCATGTGCAGTATACTTTAGGCTATTTAGCATGATGTGCTGCGCTGTGCTGTGCTATGCCCGCCGCTAACCGGCCCGTCTGCCCTGCTCCGTCCAGGAGCACAAAACAGCCATCTACTGGGCCGTCGAAAAGAACCACTATGACATCGTCAAGATGCTTCTCGAGGTGCACGCCGACACCGAAATTACCACCAAGGTGAGAAGTCAACACTCCGTGCTCAGCGCCGAGCACTTTTCACGGTGATTGTGCACAGGGTGCAGGCGTTACTTGCACACAGAGGCGAGGTCAGTAGACTCGCCTCTCGGGGCTGTTCGGATAGCACGAACCCAGAAGGCTGTAGGTGTTTGCCGTGACCTGCACTATGGCGCTGTTGTGCTGCATCATTATGGCCATGGTTTCCCTGTGGTGATATTGAAAGGAGGTGGTTCCGTGGTATTTCCAACATCTGTCTATGCCTCTCAGCACTATGATGGTGCCTGCGAAAATAGATGAGACTTTGCTATATACAATATCACATTTAATTACGCAATTAATTTTACCATGTTCTGTGTCATTTATACATAGGCTGATATCCCAAGCGCAGCATCGGAATGTAGTGTAGACTAGAAAACTAGTTTGACCTAACATGTTATTATTCACCTCTGTGGGCTAGAGTAATTTCGTTTTACTTTACGTGACCCCTCCTGACCTTGTGCGACCTCGGCTGACCCGTGTGTCATGTCTGACCCCGTCTGACCCGGTGTGACCTCTGGCCGCCAGGAGGGCGACACTGCGCTGCTGCGAGCCGTCAGGAACCGTCAGGCGGAGATGGTTGAGCTGCTGCTGGACCGCAAGGCGCGCATCTCGGCTGTCGACTCCAAGGGGGACACCTGTCTCCACATTGCCATGAGGGCCAGGTCGCGGGTGAGCTAACTGGGACGGTTCGACTTCTGTAAGGAATTGCCTCCACTGGCTCTTGATCTCTTGGAATTATCGGCCGCCATTGAGCGATCGATTTTTTTTTTTTTGGGACCAACTCGACTTCCACACAATTTGATGCGTAAATGTTAGTTAAACTTGCACATCCTTGATATAATAAACAACAGGTGTATTTGTATGTGTATCGTGAGCGATCCACGTTTCGCGTGGCGATTGGTTTATGAGCGCTTTTTTAACCATGCTGCTTTCCCCAACAGCACATCGTGGAAATTTTGTTGAGGAATCCTAAGCACAGCAAGATGCTCTACCGACCAAATAAGGCCGGCGAAACTCCGTACAATATCGACATCGCCCACAAGCGGGCGATTCTGGGCGACATTTTCGGCGCCCGTGAGTTTCGCCCGATCTCTGTGCCGATCGCCTCTGAGGAGACACTCAGGGGTCGCCTTCTCGCCTCTGCCCCCGGTGATCAATAGTCACCTCTGATTGATTTGATATCTGACGATCGGAGAGCACCTCAGCTCCGACGTTTGATCAGTACCTCAGTATTGGTGCGCGGGTCGGGTTCTGAGAATGTCTTCATCGTGGCGGCTCCCTTGTCAGTGTCACATCGGAATGAGCGTGCTCAATATGCGCATACGATCCGAGATCGAGTCGCTTACGCCTGTGTTAGATCAAATGACACGCTCTGCACTGCACGTAGTACGTAACTCTGTATTACCCGCCACTGTAGCATTGTGCAGTACGTACCAGTCACTCGGCTCGGCAGTCCAGTACGCTCTCAATCTAGCTCTGATACATTATTACCAACCTTCCCGACACGGAAGCTCCGCACGGGACCCGGCTGACCCCAGCTCCTCCCCCAGGGAAATTGAACACGAATGAAGAGAACGAGAACCGACTCGGGTACGATCTGTACTCGGGCGCGCTGGCCGACTTTCTGTCAGAGCCGGCGCTCACTGTACCCATCTCAGTGGGTCTCTACGCCAAGTGGGGCTCCGGGAAGTCGTTCCTGCTGGGCAAACTCACAGGTAGGTGTGCAATAACGGCGCTTGGCTGTGAGCTTGGGGAGTGAGCGAGTGTGTGCTTGAGGGGAGGGGTAAGTACGAGTATTGAAAGGATAAACATAAAGATGTTGTTCGAAATCGCTCTGATATGGTGTAGGAACTAGGAAGCATTTGAAGCTAGACGTCCTTTTGGGCAAAATATATGAATAGGAGGACTTGTGCAATAGGTAAAACTGTTGAGGAGCGGCCATAGGGTTTGATCATGGTTTCTGTTTGCTTTTCATGGGACGCGCTTGGCTAGCAATCAATGATGCAAGTTGTTGTTTTAGTACTAATTCTGCCGTCCGAGCGCTGTTTTGATGATTTATGCTTGGGTTTGAAATGAGCCGCCGTCTGTGAAGATGTGTTTGTTTATTTTCTCTGAAATTTGTCCGGCCTTCTCTTCCTCGTTCGCGGGCGGTTCCGTGTCATGTATAACGGACCGCTGAGCCGACATTTGGCATCACATGTCATCCGAATGTCTCCGCTAAATGCGCACGTCGTCGCCGGGCCAAATATTTGGCAAATAGCTCCGCCCTGTCAGAGCGTGGCTAGCATTCGTTCGCTGATTTGCCTGTCTCAGCCATCTTGCGGGGATTTTTTGCTAGGCTGATTTAAAATAAGCGCTGATTAAGACAAGACATCGCACTCTTTCCAGAGAGCAGAAGATTCTGTAAATTCAGTTATAATTATTATCTGGCGTTTAGTCTAGTACAGCAGTAATTTCATGTTAATCATTTTTTATTTTTCCAAAGGAAGCATGATCAAGGGAGGTGTGACTTCTACATTTTTCCCCAAGTCCCATGAGTTGTCGCCCTTTTGGAACCCCATTAGTCGCAAGGGCGCCTGATGACGTTTACTTAAGGCGGCTACCTCGGGCAGAGGAGATGCGGAACTTTGCGCAGCAGTGGCTGGAGCCGGTGCTGGAGCTGTCGCCGTTCTTCGTGTTCCTGCTGTTCAACCTGGCGCTGCTGATGGGCGTGGCGTTCGGCACCGGCTTCTGCAACGTCACCGTCGGCCTGGCCGTCGGCTGCTCCGTCTCCGTCCTGCTGATCGTGGCCGTGTTCGTGCTCAAGTTCTTCGGTACAAAGTGAGCGCTGCGAGGGAGCGAGAGAGCTGGTACGGACTGGGTGGGTGGTGAGGGTGGTCTATAAGGGCTGTAGTTGCTTGTTTATGGCTCGTGAGTGAAATTTAGGTGGGTGGATACTCTTTTAGACACTTATCAGCAAGCTGCTAAGTTGATTTCGTAACTTTTCATTTTTTAAGCTCACAGTGGGTGGAGACTTCCACTGCGTCTAACTGAGCAGACGCCCAAGTTGGCGTCTAACTTGGCGTCTAACTGTTGGAAGGAGACTTCCGAGCTAGACGCGTCTACAGTTAGCCGTCGCCAGCTAGACGCAGCCGCCGTCCAGCTAGACGCGTCTAAGACTTAGACGCGTCTAGCTGACGCGAAGTGGAAGTCTCCACCCAGTGTGTTCTAAGATGGTAATTCGTAGCTTTATATCGTCGGTGGATTTTTTCGTGAGTTGCGTCGCTGGACGACTGACTGACCCCGTTGCTCTGTCAGGTGGGAGTATGAGGGTCTGTGTGCGGCTAACGCGCGGGTGGCGCGGGCTGTCGGCTACCTGCTGCTGCTGGCGCGTATCACATTCTGTCACCCGCCCGGTCCAAAGGCGCGGCGAGACAAAATGAGGCAAATCAGGTCAGTAGAGCCGACAATTACCGGTGAACATCTCAGCGAGTATCGACGCTTAGCGGGATTTGGCAACAATAAACTGAGCTCATGTCAGGTGATTACCGCTATAATGTTAAGTTGTGTGGAATAATGGCGCATAACTTCGTCCTGTCCCCTAGAAATGAAGCTAAATTATTCTCTCGGCATTCTATGTGGACAATAACAGAGATTCTAGAGGTTAATAACTCACTTAAATAGGCCATTAGTCACCATTGTGTCGTGTAATTCCCGCTGTTTAGCCAAAACTAAAACCATGGCTTTCCTCTACGGGTGGGTACCTTCACTCTACGATAGAAGTTATACACTAATGGTAAACCTACATTATGTCCCCTCCCCCCCATATCTACCCTCGTCTCCCTCCACACAGGTTTTTCTTTGCTGAGCGCGCCAGCGTAACCTCGGCGGGCCGGGGCGACAACAGTATCGTGCAGATGATCAGCTCACTGTACGAGGACATTGAGCAGCACTGCGGCCTGTTCGCGTGCCGCCTGTTCAGGGCGTTCCGGCCACAGCCAGGTGAGGTAACTGAGAGACGGGTGGTGGCTCGTAGGGCGCCCATCTCGATAAAGTGGCCTCACTGTCGCAGGGAGGCATGAGGATTTGAGGGTGCTGATCTGTGTCAGGTGGATAGAATGCGATAGATTAGAATAAAATGGGCATCAAACGGGGAGACGACAATCAACATTTGTTTAAGAAAATACGAATGATGTTATCAAGCGACGTGTATTGTGTGACGTTGTTCTTTGGGAGCTGTTGGTTTCGATGCTGTCATATCTCTCGTTTCTCGCGGTGCCGTCACCGTTTCTCTCGATAACGCCCTCTCGGCCCGGCTGCGGCTCACTTTTTGGTACAGTGTCGCCGGAGAGCGAGTCTTCGTTCCGGCACCTGTGTCTGGTGCCGTACGCGTTCATCTTCCTGTGGACGCTCTACGTTGCCATGGCAACCATCGTGCTGACGGTGCACTTCTTCACCTGGGAGCCGATTAAAGCGATGGTTGCCGCCACTGTGCAGGCAACGCACAATGGAACGTGAGTCCATTCATTCATTCATTCATTCATTCATTCATTCATTCATTCATTCATTCATTCATTCATTCATTCATTCATTCATTCATTCATCCATTCATTCATTCATTCATCCATTCATTGTTTATTCATTCATTAATACATTCATCCTTCCATTCATTTAGCATTCATTCGTTCAATCATTCATTCATTCGTTCATTTATTAACAGTACCCTTAGCATGCTCATCCATTTCCTCTTTTAGAGCGCCGTTTAAAGTTCACGCATATTCTCTAATGAAACGTCGCCCACCCACACGACGGTTCTATTTCCGCTGTGGCTATTCACATCCGAGCTCAAACTCAATTTCCTCCCGCGGTTTAAATCACATATGACAATCGCATCAACCCTATTACATGGTGTCAATCACGTATAACACTCTTCTCTCCGCGTACGCTCGCAGTCACTCGTCGAGCAACGTCCTGCCTCCGGTGGATGTGGAGGGCGGCACGTACGAGACGATTGAGACGCTGCTGATCGTGCTGTCGGTCACCCTGGGTATCGTGGTGCTGGCCAACATCCTCACCATTGGCAAGGTGTTCTACGCGCTCATCCTGCCGCACCGGCTGTGAGTTGACGCGCGGGGCGTGCCGGGGATGTTTGTGTGTTCACGGATGGATTTGTGGATGGAAGAGGAGGTAGAGAGGGAGCAGCTAGTCGTTTTTTTAGAGCTCATTTTTTCGCACATTGTCTTGTTTCACCTGGTACATTGCTTTAGGACATTTTTAAAACAACTTGCACCGGAGCATTCTCAGTTTTCTTCTTCTCGCATTTACGTGTCGCAGTGTCCTTATAGACAACTAATATCACCTTGCTCATTGCATCTCAGGTACCTGAACAAGCTGTCTCACACCGGTGGTCGGGATAAGGACCGTTACGTGCAGGCCCTGAAGGACGAGGTGCAGCTTCTCATCAATATGGTGAGAGACAGGCGCGACTGTGTCATGTAACATGAGATGCAAATGCTTTTGTTTTTGGAGTGGCCGGAGAAACATAATTTTTGTTCAATTTGGTTATTGTTTATTTTCATACTCGCCGTCGAGATAGACGTCAAGTTTAACCAACCATTGTGAATAGCTGAATGTCACTCGTATGCTATAACTAGCCAAACCTTCCTTTATTATAGTGTCGCGGTCTGACCCTGGTTTAATCAAGCCGCTAACCCCAGCATAACTGACGACCCCCCCCCCCCCCCTCCCCCCAGGTGCGTTGTATGGACAGTCTGACGGACGAGCAGACTCGGCTGGTTGTGGTCGTGGACGGCCTGGACAGCTGCGAGCAGGAAAAGGTGCTGGAGATCCTGGACATGGTCAGCACGCTGTTCACGGTGCCCGAGGCGCCGTTCGTCATCCTGCTCTCCATCGACCCGCACATCATCTCCAAGGTGGGCCGGCGCAGTGACAGGAGCGTTACGTTTGAATGGAGCGACCTCTAAGTGCGTTCGTTGAGTTTATAGTGATGTCTTGCTTTAGGCAAATGCTTAAAACAAGAGTCGTATTAGGATTTGAGTCCACTTTTTTGCCTCAAAACACATTTGGTCTTGCTCTTACCGTTGCTAGTTATGCAACGCCTTTCTTGTACCCTTAATGTCTGACTATTTAGTTATGACTATAGTTCGTTTTTCTTAAGTTTGCCCCTCACTGTAAACGTCTTTTTGAACACAGCACGGGAATTGCTAGCTGAATTACTGAGAAAACTGGTTGGCGCACATTGATTTCACCAGATTTCACAGACGATCAATTTTATCAAATTTGTTTACTATTTCACAGACTCATAGTTCGTATTTACCCATGCCTACAGCTCCACAGTGATAGACGACTTCTCAGGAATTATGTCTGAACTAATTAATAAATTGCACGGCGTTTAACATTAACGTTACATCGTCTGTGTTCAAAACTTATTTTGAAAATATTATCCATATCTCCAATACAATGTGCGCCAACCAGTTTTCTCAGTAATTCAGCTAGCAATTCACGTGCTGTGTTCAAAAAGACGTTTACAGTGAGGGGCAAACTTAAGAAAAACGAACTATATTTAGTTATATTTAGTTATTTATTATCCGTCGGCTGACGGATGCGTCAGCCGACGACGAGGCGAAGCGGTCCAAGCAGGAGAACGGCCACAACGGCGTCAACGGCCAGGCGGCGCCCCTGATATGCGTCCGCCCCGACCTAGACCCGCTGCCCCGCCCTTCTGATCTGGTTCACCCGTGCATGATGTCTCGCCGCATCATTTTATTGTGCTGTTAAATGTATCTGTTTTGGTGTAAATTTAGTTTTGCCTAATTTTTCAGATTATCTTGTTTCAATGCTGAACTGCTAGATCGTGTGCTCAACGATAGTTTAGCGTCCGAATCTCATGTAGCTACCCTTGACCGTCACATTTAACTCCTGTTGTAACTCCACCACCCCCTCTCTGCGCAGGCTGTGGAGCTAAACATCAACAAGGTGTTCTCGGAGACGGCCATCAGCGGTAACGACTACCTGAAGAACCTCATCCACCTGCCGTTCTTCCTGCAGAACTCGGCGCTCAGGAAGGTCAACCTCGCGCAGAAGGTGGCCGCCAGCCGCGAGAGGTACGGTCGCGCTGGATTTTTGTTTTTTTGTTTTTGTATTCAGCCCTCCCTCCAACGGGCTCATTGGTCCCAATTATAGGAGGGCTCCTCCTCCATTGCAGTTGTCGGATAGAATTAGGGCGTTTTATGTCCGCTATTTACATGTGTAAGCTCGACTTAGAAGAGACTAAAAAAGCATGGTGTCGTACGGTCGTACGGGAAAGTCATAAACGATGCAGTGTTTTGAATTTGGGTTTGTGGATTGATCCCATCTGGCAGTTTATATCCAGAGCTGTGTGTTGTGTTGCGCGAGACTGATGGAAATGGATGATGCTGATTGCTTGTGTTGCATTAGTGTTAGGGTGTCCTTCATCTGGCGTTTGATTTCGTTCCAGGCGAGATACGTGGATCGATACAGACAATGAGCCCAACATTCAGCAGCACGCGGTGAGATGTGCTTTGATCTCATCTGGGGGCGCTCAGACTGGGTTTTCTAATTACAGTCACTGCTTCAAATGTTTTCGTTGTTTCGAGGTAGCAGCATTGCGGTGTGTTTTGCGTGAAATATTTCCTGTTTGCTATTCATTCAAAGACTGTTTCTCAGTATGCTAGCCCATCCAGCCCTCATTTCTTAAAGTTTTCCCTCGGCGACCTCGTCATTTCGTTACTCACTATTCTGCTTCCGTCTTTCATGTCCCATTGTTGTGACCTCTCACCTCTTCTGACCCGTCGTGACCCCTCTTTTGACAGATGTCGGCGGCTGGGGCGCGGCGGATGTCTGTGGAGTCCGTCAGTACCGGTATGAGTTCCAAGTCGCGACTGAGGCTGCCCAAGAAGCAGCTGTCCCGGCTGAAGGGCACAGAGAGTATAGCCAGCAGCGTCGCCTCCAACCTGAACAGGTGGGTGGCACAGATCCGAATCAACCTTTGCTCCTATCCTTTTATCCATATTATCCTTTTCTTTTTAGATAGGTAAATTTTTTCATTTTTTCATGAGATATGATACCCTGATACCTATTTTCTTACCATCTTTCCTTCATTGGTGTCCGTATTGAGACTTTTCCACTTGTATCCGAATTGTACCGTTCTGTCCCTTTTTCTTACCATGATGCTGTCCCCACTTTCTCCATTTACACCTCCTTTTTCTTGCTATGCGCCTTCATTTCCTGCCCTCCCCCATCACTCACCGATGCTCCTCTATCCTTCTCGCTCCTTCCCTCCTCTCATCCTCCAGCGTTGCGGAGCTGGGGGAGTGCTCCCTGGACCCGGAGGCGCCCGGGTACAGCGCCTGTCCCTCTCCTGAGGAGCTGCTGTCGGGTCGGCGCGGCGCTCTGACCCGGCGGCTCACCTCGTTTGGACTGAGTGCACTGGATATGACCGGTGCCGTCAGTCCAACGGACAGACCGTCCCGCAGTATCGCCTCCAGGAGGCCAGGGGCCAGCGGCAACAGGTCAGGAGGAGGTCAGGAGTCAGCGTCCAGAGGTCATGGGTCAGCGGTCAGAGGTCAGGGCATGCCAAAGGTCAACGGGCAAAGATTGAGGAATGCCAGGATTGGAAGACAAGAGGACACTGTAATAGCATTGGAATGGTTTGATGATGCTAAATTAAAACTTCCTGTGTACACATCCTTAATCCTATCTTCATGCATTCTTGTCTTTTTCATGAGCCATCTTCCCATCGTTATCCAATATTCCCCGCCAGTATACCCAGGAATCTTCGTCCCCTTCAAACCCAGTTCTCCCCCGCTGACCGACCCATCACCTCTGCCCGCCAGGATCGGCTCGTCTCTGGTGACGGGCACCTCGGACCTGAACCGGGTCCTCCTCACCGACGACTATTTCTCAGACGTCAACCCGCGCAGCATGCGGAGGCTGATGAACGTCATCTACATCAGTGGTGAGTTACATGACGGTGGATATGGTGTCGTGGTGGCTGACAGTCGTCGTCATCGTGAGTAACTACCTCCATGACTGTCCATTGCAGCTTGTGCGACGTGCATGTTTAAAACGTTTAATTCATCATATTGAAAGCTCTTTATCCCACTAACTATCATATAACTAACTGTCTTTATTTCCCCGATCTTTACCGGTGTTTTCCACATACTTTGTTCCGGAGCATGCACATTTTCACGCCACTATCTGTTGCCCGTCACCAGGTCGTCTTGTGAAGGCGTTCCACATCGACTTCAACTGGTACCACCTGGCATCTTGGATCAACATCACGGAGCAGTGGCCCTACCACACCACCTGGATGATTCTCTACTTCGAGTTCAACGAGAGCAAGCTGGAGGATCGGATGTCGCTCTATGAGCTGTATACGAGGAACGCAAGAAGCTGGGTGTCGGGGACCTTGCTAATGCTCATTCGTATCATTTTTTTTTCATATAAAACTTTCATATCATTTTTTCATATAGTTTTCATATCATTTTTTGTCATATTGTTTTATGTTGCGTTGGGTAGATATTGATATAAAAATGTATGGTTGAGGCATTCGCTATGCGTTTCAGATATAGTAGGCTGCTTTTACGAACTCATGAACGTGGGTGAAAACTCGACATCTACGACGTCTCATCTGCCGATATCGCGCCACACTATGGTCCTCCTGTCTCATCGTACCCCTCACTTACACCCCACACGTCGTCTACAGGATCCGGGTACACATTCCGTCGAGTCGCGAGGCGGACCCGCTCTCTGAGTACGACCGTGACGAGAAGAAGCTGGACGTGTTCCTCTCCTTCCACAAACACACGCTCACGCTGGCGGACATGAAGGTGTTCCTGCCGTTCACAATCAACCTGGATCCGTTCATCAAGAAAGTAGTCAAAGGTGCGTGGGGAGCTTCATGGGGTTATAGTTGCTGATCCGATGCTGAGACGGTAGAACGGAAAGCCTTTGATGGAACGGAATATGTTAGTAATGGGAGTTTTTGTGGCAACACCTTTGGAAAGGTGACTGGTCTTGGTTCTAATTTTTATTTTGGTTTCATTTCTATGTGCGCATTCTTGCAGTACATGTAATACATTATTGTCATTCCACGATGCCCGGATAACAGCATCACGCTATCCTGTGACTGTTTCAGAGGAGCATTTTGACCCGGTGAACGGCCAGCTGGACGGCCCTGCCCCGGCGCCGGCGGCCGCCCCCGCCCCCACCCCAGCCGCCGCTGCCGCTGCCGCCGCGGCTCGTCTCCGAACCACACAGGTGAGATAACATTTCGTGGTGAGCGGTGTAACTCGATTATACTCGACAACTATGTGCTAGGTGGAACTCGGCAATGCTAACACCGGAGACGATAAACACTAGTTTCCATTTATGGATCTTATAAGGCTAGTTGTAGAGCTAGAAGCCCGAAGCCATGTAATGACCCAACTCCCATTCACTCAGGACTAAGACACTGGGTTTAAACCACTCTAACCGACTAGTCTAAGCTTTGAAAGTGTTGGACGTTTCGTGTCTTCCGTGTCTTCCCATCCGGTCGTTCTTCTGGTGGTATAACCGTGCGGTGCTTTCAGCGCGTGTCTCCGCCGCCGGCCGCCCCGCCGCCCGGACAGCCGTGGTTTTATCACTGGGTCAGTCACAGTCGCAGTCCGTCAGTCTGTCAGTCTGCGGCAGTCTTGTCAGATCTTTGCACAAAATACGACGCCAATGCAGGGTCGTCATTGTCTGCGGTTACCTCAGCTTTTCCCCTGTATTTTCATTTTGTGCATCTACTCCTCTCGTTTCTCTTCTGATTGTATTTTAGCCGATTGGTGTGTATTTTTACGCCTCTAGCTGTGTGTACTGAGCGCTGAATGCTGCAAGTTTTGCTGCCTCAGTTTGTGGATTCTTGCACGGCTGGAGCCGCTTTGACGCTGCTCAGAACCAGACTGTATTTTCCCGTGTGATGCTGCTCCAGCTCTCTGGTTATCTGCGAACTGTTGTATGAATAGATCGGATCGCTCTCTTTATCTGAGATAGCGGCTGATAATGACATTCTACACTACAATCGGTAGTTAGAGTTTCTAGTCAGTAGTCACCTTTGTCGTTTTTTGGTAGCTAAATATATTCTATCCTTGAAGTTTACAGACAGCATCCTGCATGCATCATTGCTTAGTTTTCACGTAGCCAACTACGCCGTTGATTATCTATTAGCTATTTCCATTCATTTCTCATTAAGTAGCTAGAAAAGTAGGTAGAAGTAAAAAACTCACGGTTCTGCAGGCCTCCAACGATCTAGTCTTCGCAGCTACCCCGCTTTTGCATTTAATGCTCCTCGCTGCCCATGCAAAGCAGTGACTTCGTGTGATTATTGCCTGAATAAGTGGTTGACATTTGTAGATGGCCCACAGATGCATGACCCAGGCTTGTATAATGTTAAGTTCTTTTTCTCCTCTCCAGCCAAGCTGTGTGATGCTTTTTTTCGTGTGATTGGAACGGTGTTGATATTGTTATGAGGCGCTCTTTTTCTGTGACGTTCTTGCGATACAGATTATCAGCAATATGCGTTTTTTTCTTACTAATCATTGATTGCTGCCGAGTCAACATCTACCAACGCACTTGGCGACTCGTGGCTACATCACAAGAAGTTTAGCGCTTAATTGCAAAATAACCTTACGACCATTCTTGTGTGCCCATGCGAGCATGCAGACATGATCCATATTAGTTTGTTTGTATCTCTAAAGGTATTTGTGTATGAAGCATTTCGTAAATGTGCCTCACCCAGAGACTAACCCCCCTTTCCCCCTCTGACCCTTGACAGCCGGTGGCGGCGCCGGCGCCCGACCTGGCCCAGTGGGCGTGGCCATACGGCAGCATGCCCGCCTGGTCTCCGCCCATGCCGCCGGCCGCCCCGCCCCCGGCGCCGACCCCCAACATTCAGCTGCCCGTGAGTGGACGGGAGAGGAGAGTTGGATTGATGTGGCGACGGTTTAGTTTGGGTCTGATGACAGTTTGAGCTCCATGTGGTGAAGCAATTATTAAGTGTTCGCTACTTTGACAGTATTGTTTCTACCAGCGTCAGAACGACGTTTAAAGCCACATTTGTTAATAATTTATTTAATTAACATCAACTGAATTTCGCTGCGTATCTTATAGTCAAAGTAAGTCAATATAGGTAGTTTTGTTTTGTAACTAAAATACAGTCAAGATAGCCTTTTACTACACAAAACTTCACTGTCTTTTATGATCTATTTGCTCGTTCAGATCCAACGGCCCTCTGACCGTCTTCCCATGTCCCCCCTCCCCCACAGTCGGTGTGCTCGGACCGGCCTCTCAGCTCTCTCTCGGTGGAGGACGTGTGTCAGCTGGTATCTGACCTGGCCGGGATCAGCGCCGAGGCGGCTGCACGCTACCACCGCACCTTACGCTCCAATAACATCAGCGGATGGGTGCTCTGCGCCTGCGAGATGCCCGCACTCAAACGGGTAGGTACCGCGGAGTGTCTGTGAGGAGGGCTAAGACGTTTTGGTTTAGCGCTTAGCGTTTTGGAAATCGTAAAATAAAGGGATGAGTGTATCCGGAGCCAACTAATGCAAGGAATGGGGGCATTACCATGCAGGCTTTTAGTAATTACTCTTCAGCTCTATGTTTTCCTTTCAAGTACCCTGACGATCGACCTCTTCAATACCACGTCCGCTGTGCTTCTCACCCTCCTCCACGCCTCTGACCACCTCCTATCCACTGCTCACAGACGATGAAGATGACGTTCGGCGACTGGGAGACGTTCCGGGCGGCCGTGGAGACGCTCCGAAAACGGGAGGCGGCCGGTCCCACCGTCCCCTGCTCCTCGGCTGCCGACCCCGCCGCCGCCACCTTCACCGCCTCTGCGGCGCCCGTCACCTCCGCCGCCCCCACCTCAGCGGCCAGTGACGCCGCGGAGGCGCGGAAGATACGCTTCCAGTTGACCACGGATAGCGGGAAGGTGACGCAAGCCAACAGCGCGACCTCGAGCACAGTGACGAGTGAGTACGACTTCGGCGCAGAGGGAGCGGGAGTGAGGTTTGGGGGCTGGTGTTCGTATGTGTGAAGTTGTTGCGTGTGGGTTTTTGTGGTCGAAAGAGTAACTTCGTCTGTTGCGTCTATTGCGTCTGTTGATAAAAACGGAAAGAAGGGCTCATTTTCAGCTATCCTGTTGATTGTGAATATGATAGTGATTCCCATGATAGACTTGCAACGGGCCTTCACATACAATTTGTTGTGGTTTGGGCAATGTTGCGAATGCTGCTACGGATTTTTTAGTCTTGTGTGAAGATGTGACGTGGTCCAGATGTTGACTTGGGCGCTGAATTTATCTGTAGCTTGCCACCTCGTTCCATCCAGTAATTCGTTTTCTTTGCGTGTCTGCATATTGTGAACACGCAGCTTCGGAATCGGCCAGCTATGAGACGCCCTCGCGGACTGCCGGTAAGGATCGTGGCGGCCTGGCACTGTTCGATATCGTCTGTGCATCGTGAACTGGAATACCTGCGGTTGGGGAATTTCTGACACGTTTTGACATTATCTGGATGATGCCCACATCTGCCACTGTCCGTCTCACAAGACTCCGCCCACGCTCGGGTGCCTCGCGCTGTTCCAGCCTGTTTTGTGGGCTTCGACCTGCGCTGTGTCTGCATTATGTGCGGCTGTATGCAAATATTTACGTTGTACGGTGATAGGTCCTGGCTTACTGCAGCTGAGGTGGAACTGGAATGTCAGAAACGTTTATTTCGTTTCAGCGAGAGCCGATTCTTTTTTCGGCGAGTAGTTATTCTGCTGCTGCTGCTGCTGCTGCTGCTGCTGCTGCTGCTGCTGCTGCTGCTGCTGTCGCTGTCGTTGCTGGTTTTGTCGCTGCTGCTACTGCTCTTGTTGCTGAGGCTGTTGCTGTTTTTCAACTGCTGCTGCTTCAAACGGCATTTTCAGCGGCCTTGTTGCGACATCTTTTTGGTGTTCAGCTTTGGAGAGCCGAGAGGGAATCGGCTGCTGGTTACACGAAGATACAGGTTGTGGATTCCTTTCAGTTTGTTCGACGTTTGTTTCAGCGATTGAAATTGACCCGATACCTACAATGTACAAACCCGGCTTTTTATGAGAGTGAGGTAGACTAAGTGGATCATTTGCTGCTTTCCTTGGGAAGTTTGCCTTTTTCTTGAACCGCATGCTTGTGTTCTTTGTGATGCGGTTGCCGTTTCTCCAAACACATTCACGGGAACACCATATGCGACAGTTCACTATGCGCCCAGCACAAACGGTTTTCAGACAAGTGATGCGGTTTTCACTGCCTGGTTTCTGTAGGCCATTTGTCTTGTGAACTCTGAAGTGCTCACGTGCTACACTCGCGCCTATCAGTAGCTCTGTCCAACTTGCTTGTCTGCCTCTGGCTCTGTTTAATTTGAGGAACATCCCTTTGTATTTGTCCGGTACCTGATGTCCTGTATCCGACTATCTGGTACACTTAGTGCGTCCTGTAGCTCCCCATGTGTCTGACCGGTGTGCGTCCCCTCTCCTCAGGTCCGCTGGTCTCGGACGGCCGGCAGCCGCCTCCCAGCTCCCAGAGCAGCGGCTCGGTGCGCCGCCGCAGCGGGCCCGACAACCACCTGGAGAAACAGGTCAGCCAGCCGAGACCGACTCCGCCCAACACCCCCACCGACCAACCGGGGCCTGATCCGTGACCTGATCCTCACCCGGGACCCGTGACTGCATCCGTGCTCAGATCAGTGACCCGGGACCGGACCGTGACCTAGTCCGACTCATGACCTTTGACCTGCCGTGGCCTCACTCTGAGTCATGTGTTCCTGCCATCGTGCGGCGTTCAGCTGCGTTGCAGCGCCGCTGAACAGTGCCATACCATTACCGTCCGTTCCTCGGTCCTATCGTATCGGGAGACTTTGCCGAGTCAGGTGAACATACGCTTTGTGTGTGCCCCTACGCGAATGCCTACTGTACTTTCGCCACCTTGCATTGTGTGTGTTCTGTGACTAAACCATGGTTCATATGTGTCATAACCCTGGCATCCAGCGCGTTTGCACGGCTTTTACTAACCGCTCTACCGTATAATCGTTTGTAGTAGAATCATGTGAACGTTCCTTTAAGCTCGTCTCAGGAAGCTGTCTATAGTAAATGTTTGTTTTAAGCGTGAACATGTCTTCCATATGACGTGATCAAGGAATGCTCAGTTCACCCTGTAGCGTGCCGAAGCGTTGTGCTTTTGGTCTTGAACACACGTGTTTCAACGTAGGGAAGTTGCTTGACAATATGCTCGCGATAGGAATACTCAGCAATTACGATTTGCGTGCAATACTTAATCAATATATCAAGTCGATCCAATCTATTTTTGCCATTCAATAGTGTCTTTCATAACACCGGTTGTCAGCCAAGCACGTAACAATTTCGTGTTTGCATGTTAATTATTTTAGGTGGCGTTGGTGAATGTGTTAATCGAGTGCCTTCGTCATTACCTATCTTATTGAGACTCTATATGTTTGGCTGTCAGGCACTACTATGACAAGCCTCCTGTGAATGAAGTTTTATCTATGCTCTTTTCCCGTGTCTCGGTATCTCACATATCGATGTTGTTTTATGGTGTTTAACCAGATGTTTATCTGTGGCTTAACCGCATGTGAGCAAAATATAGCGCATCAAAGGCACAGCTGGCTGTTACAATTACTACGCTGCCATTGCAGGAATTCATTCATTGCAGGGAAGAATGATTGGTTTTCTTTTTAAGCAACGCATACACGTTGGTGCATATTGAGCAAACATTACTTATGTCACGGAAATTTCTTAACGCTTTTACTTATCGCACAGAACATCATGGAATGATCACACTAGCTTACTGAGGCGATTGACAATCATTCTTAGAAAATACTGGAATTTTTGCTTGGCGGCTGCTGCTGCTGTGCACGTTCAACATTTGGTTCTTGATTCGATAGCACATTGGCTCATGGCAGCCATAAGTGCTGTCTAGAACGAATGCTGCTTCAAGAGCGAATGTTTACTGGTCAAGCTTACACATGTATCAAGTCAGATGCAACACTAAAAAAAAAAAAAATAGTTTGATGATTGGGCGGAAAGCGTTCACATTTCAACAACATGATGGGTCAAAGATGCGCTTCGAACGACATTTTATGGTCAGTAGCTTGCCGGAACCTTTGATCGAACTGAAAACATTGCATCCTTCGGCGCGAGATTCGCACGTTTGCATTGGTGGTGGATGCGCGGTGGTGGCGGTGGTTTTGGTGGCGGTTTTGGTGGCGGTTTTGGTTCCGGTTTTGGTGTCGGCGGCGGCTAACTCCCCGAGTGACCTGCCTGCACCGTCTCCGTCAGCTGATCAGAAGGCCTCCACTAACACAGATCGACCGGTGAGTGTGCGGGTGGCGGGCGCAGCCGGAAACACCTCCGCCGGTCCGGCCCCCTCGGCTGCCGACAGTCGCCTCTGTCCACAGAGATTGGATAGACCAGACTTCGTCAGAACGGTCTCCTGGTCCGACGATTGTAAAGTTAGCCTTTTTTGGTAAGTGACCAGGCTTCGTAACAGCTCTCTTTCGGCTTTGGATCTGGTATAACACAACACTAACGCTAGCGTAACTTCTCTTACAACTCATTTCATAGATTCCAAATTTCATACAAACATTTTCTTTTGAATGAATCTTATTTAAGGCAAATTTCGTTGACATCCTGGACTGGCGAACCAGTATCCCCGCCTGCGTCCATTGATATAAGAATGGAGTGATGCGCTCCCTCTTGCGACTCCCCCCCCCCACCCCCTGTGGTGTTCGGTTTGGTAAAGCCCCATTCGCACAGTGCATGATAAGGTAAAGGTGGAGGAATTCCGTGCATTTGTCAGCATCCGGCGGTTAATGGGCTGGGACCGAGTGGATTGTCGAATTCCCTTGCCCCTTGTTAAAACATCCCCGTGAAAATGGCATGCATTTGCATGCAAATGGTTTGGCATCGGATACACAAAAAGTTGTTTGTTTTGCTTTTGATAGCAGTCGTCGCTGCTTAGTATAACGTAGCTCTTTATAAGTGATGCCAATACTTTATTTGTAGTTATCACCCTAAAACTTAACGCCGTTTAAGTTCAAGTCACAACCATCAAAATTTGGATCTCCTCAGCATGTCATTTGGTGCGTCTCTAGTTTGGCTGCTTTAAATGTGTCTCTGACATGACTCGCTATGATCCGACTCGCGGTGACCGATTCGGCGGCCGTTGCAGACGGACGAGCGACGCGGCTCTGCCAGCTCGCAGCTGACGGAGCGGCGCGTCAGTTTCGAGATAGACCAGCGGCGCGGCTCGCTCGAGCTGGCCCGTCTCTCCCTGCCGCGCGCGGGGCCGCTGGAGCGCCGCGGCTCCCTGCCGCCGTCGTCTCGGCGCAGCTCGGCGTTCCGCAGCGAGCGGCGCGGTTCTGCCGACAGCCTGCCGTCGCCGTCGTGCGACCGGTTCGACAGCGCCGCGCTCGGCGACCTGGTGCACGCCTCGTACGCTGAGGAGTTCGACTTCTCCCACTACCTGGAGGAGGAGGCTCTGCTGGAGGAGCGCTCGCGCCGCGGACTGTACCCGATCCTGGAGGGCGGACGGCCGGCCGACGTGACCGTTAACATGGAGGACACGGCCGAGGCGCTGGAGCTGGAGCTGAAGAAGGGCGCGCCCGTCGCCCTGGTGGTCGATGACGGAGAGCATGTGACGCGTGAGAGTGTCGAGACGCCGACGATGGACAGCTGCCGTGAGCTGATCGAGGAGGATGAGAGCGCCGACGAGCAGTATGCGTATGATAACGAGGGGTATGATCGGCTGTAGACGGACGTCTGGGGGAGGCGTGAGGCAGCGGAGAGGGAAGGGAATGGACAAGTCGGGAAGAGGCGAGCGTGGGGGCGGATTTGAAGTGCGATATTGTGTCTCTTGGACCACGCAATGCCAGGACCAATAGTTGTAACGATTCCGCCCCAGAGCTGTGTAAGATAAACAAGCCAATCCGCTGCCAATGAATCGCCTTTCACTGCTCAGGGTACGGATTAGAAGGATAAGCTGCTTTTGATGCCTACTGAACTGACGCACGTGAACGCATTGACGCAAACTATTCTTTTAGCATGCTTGTGACAGCTATGTTGCACTTAGAGCCTCCGTGAACTATGAGCCGGAATAGCCTGGACCAGGTATACATGCTGACATGGGTTTCATGCATCCAACTATCACTATCGATGCATTTTCGCATCCTCAGTAAATTTGCTACGGACGCTGCCTGCCTTTGATATTAGTTACATCCCAAGTAGGGGTGGATTGCTTTATCCCATAGTGGATGCCTTCACGCTGTAACCTTCTGATGTAATATTGATTATGCTCCCATGGTGCCGCTGCGCCTCCGCGAGGTGCTGTAATTATCTCATCGTTCCTGCTAATGGATTCAGTCGCGATTCTCAGTGTCACTGGTTGTAGTGACGGGTGCCGAGTCTCCGCCGTCTGACGCCGGTTTCCGCTTGTCTGCAAGTGCAAGTGTTAACTGATTTAGGAGAAATACCTCGCGCCGTTAGCCGCTACCCGGATCGTTTTCTGTTTCGTGGATGCTCCCCTTTAATTTTGACGGAAGATGTCAACTTTTGCCTTGCTAGTGACTGCCGTAATTTTAGTGGCCTTAGCACGTGCGACTTAACTGATGGAGCAAATATGCCTCTCAAATTACTTTGATAGATTGTTTACCCTCCTTTCGTGACTTGTCAGCAGTGAATAGAAGAGCATATCTGGATTTTGTATATGCGTAACTGTTTCGTAGCGTTTTACTGACGTTTTATATAATCATCTCCGAGGTATCCGATATGTTTTATCGTAACCGTGATGTTACCGATGACATTCTGTCCGACCATGTCACGCGTTGGTCCTGGCATGAGGCTCTGAAGGCAACTTTTAGTGGTTGTGATGCTATGACTTGTCGCTCCGTGCCATCTGCCGCGCGCGGAGTGAATCCAGTGTCACCCCGGTGCCTAGTGGCCTCTCGAACATCGTCCTGAGCCGCCGCAGCTGTGTTGCTGCGCGCGGCGACCATATACTCATCCTATATACTCATTATGTGTACGTACATTCTCAGCAGTAGTGTTCGACGCCAAGCTGAGTCTCAGCATTAGCACGCCGCGCGTGACAGTGAGTGGACCGCTGTGTTTTAGTGAACGGCGCTCGTGTGCGACTCTGTGCGTGCCCTAACACGTCGCCCGGTTATATGCACCGTAGATATGTCACTGGTGAATGTTTTCTATTTAATGTGCTCTGAATATGTTTATGTTTCAATAAACGAAGTGCTGGAATGGCCAACAAAGGAGTTTGTTTTGTTTTTGTCCTCTCGCTGCATCGTGCCGGCATGTTGTCTGTGGCTTAGCGCTAGTGACACGCTTTTCTCTGCCGCTGCACTGGCAAAAGCTCTGTGCGAGGCTGGTGTCTGTTCTTTGGAGCTGCGTTCACTCCGTGTTTGCATGCCACAGCCTTTGTGTGTGTTGTCCGTACACGAGCAGAGCCGCACTGTGACGCTGGAACGCTGCTCTGGCACAGAGACCTGATGGGGACGCGCAGGTACGTAGCTCTGTCACACTGCCTTCTTTGTGTGCATTTTTCTCATTTACTATTTCTGTTGATGCGCAATTCTTTTGTTTATATCCTTTCATTTTTATTTCATTTTGCTTGTCTTGATCTGGCACATCCCTGGGTCACTACTGCTGACATATGACCTAACTAGGTCTCACATCCCCTCCAGTCCAGGCTCCATGACCTGTTGACCGTCTGACCTATGTGACCAGAGTCTGACCTCTGTGACCTGCGTCTGACCTCTGCTGCCCGTCGTTACTCTGTGTCCGCTGTTGACCCCTGTCTCTGACCCTCAGGTGACGCTGGAGGAGCAGATGATCTGGGGCGCACTGCAGACTCTCAACGAGGACGCCTGTGAGGACCTCAGGGAGGACCAGGAGGTGATGGCGGAGGAGGAAGAGGAACAGGGAGAGGACGCCGCCGCGCAAGGTCAGTGAGAGAGGACTCGATGGACGAGCTCATACACATGCAGACAGACACAGAGACTTATGCAGACAGGGACTGACAGGGACAGAGGCAGAGAGACGATCGTAGTCACAGATTCAGCTGCAAACACAGACTGGCAGAGTCACACACAAAAACAGAGGTAAAGACGGGCTTAGTTACATTTGTGCAAGCCTAGACACATATGCAGAAGGGCTTTTAAACGGAGGGTGTCGTGCACTGGCACACATATACACATAGTCGTGAACATAAAACAGCCGATCGGTATAAAAGCGGTAAAAAGCGCCAATGGCTGTTTCTGAAACAGTGACTGCTGGCGCACAGCTGGGTGTTCAAGTTTTTGGATCGTTTGTAAAAAAAAAAAAAAAATCCATCAGAATGGGAAAGTCAGCATGACCCCATTGTATGTTATGTTTTCGTAATATTTTGGGGACTAAGGGTAAACTCTATGGCCCAACTCCTGACGAGCCGTGTAGCCGGACGAACCGACCCCTGAATACATATTTTGCATCCATGGACCCCTGGAGGGGTATGTGTTCGACTGACCTCAAAGTACCACGACCCAGGTGACCCCGCAGGGAGGCGGCCTCAGCGGGGCGCGGCGGGCCGACGAGCCAGATGGGCTGCGACACCGGACTCATACCGGGGTTAGATTTCTGTGTTTTGTGTTATGACACTCTGCCCGTTACACTTGTCAACCGGTCTCTAGAAACCACTTTTCTGGCCCTTTGTAATTTCATCCACACGAATACACGATTACCTGTGTCTATAGATGATCACCCCACTCCTATGCATTATACGTTTACTAACATTCATTAAAGACGAAATGCATCTATAAACAATTGAAATGCATCAGCACAGCTCTGGCAATATCACCTCGTAGAAAATGTTACAACTCACCAGGTCACTAGTCAGTAGGATGGCGTGGTGATAATGCTAGTATTTTATGTGTCTGGAATGTGGATGGGAAGGTGGAAGGTAGAGGTGGCAAAAGATGAAAATTTTGGGAACCAGACTCGAACCAGACCCGGCTGGATATTTCTGGAACCAGTCAGACCCGGTCTTAGTTGGAATCGGAACCAGTTGGACCCGTTCCCCAAAAGTCAATTAATACAAACTACTTGTAGGTATCGTTAGTTGCATCAAGTAAAACAGCCTATTTCCCACTGGGAATACTCACGAGCTATTGTGTGCAAAGAAACATTCACTTCATTCACTTCATATTTTGCAATAATGTGTAGTGTGCAATATGTATAGTTTATGGAAGGACCCGGTACTTGGACCCGACAGAAAATTTCCTGGAACCTGTCTGTACCCATATGGGTCCAGACTGGTTCTTTGGACCGGGTCCTCGGGTCCACATTTTGCCACCTCTAGTGGAAGGCATGTAGCCCTGCCTCATTCAGACTGTACATGTTTGCTATTGCACTCGATGCGCTGATTTTTTTGTTGTTGTTGTTGGGTTAGGCCCTTTCGGTCCAATGGGACCATTTCAGAGCCGGGAGGATGATAGGATATAGGGGAGACATTGGTCTGGGCAGGCATCCTAGTGAGTCACCGGGGCTGAGCCCGTCCAGAGGACAGGCCACCCAGCCCCAAGGTACTCACTGCACCCGACTACGGGGTGCGCTCCCTCGGGAGCAGCGGTGCCGCTCCAAGGGAGCAGCCCGCATGAGATAAAGTTGCCTGTCTAGCCCGGAGGAGGGTTGCGGCGTGGAGGAGAAGGATTGTATCCTGAGGATAGAAGCACGGAACGGTGGATGCGCTGACGTCCCATCTTCCTTATAAGTGAATGCCAAGAAGTGAATAATGCAACCCCTGGCTAAATCATTGGCGGTGTCGGCTAAGGGGAGGAACAGTTAAAGTGATGCGGCGCAGCAAATTTTCAGACGTTTTTAACTGGCGTCATCTAGGACAGAGGCTTAAGCTCGATGTACTGCGGCACAGCATACGCCATACTTCCAGGCGCCCACCGCTATGGCACCTAGCGGACGATTTTGTACACTTCAGTGTAGTGCGGTACAGTATGCTTTCAGGCGCTTGTCGCTAGTGGCATCTAGCGGCAAAAGTTAAAATGTGAAGTTTCATGTGTTGCGGCACAGCATGCTTTCGGGCGCTCATCGCGAGTGCCATCTAGTGGTGAAGCGTTGAACTCTACTGCAGTGCGGCACAGCGTGCTTTCAGGCGTAGTAACGCTATTGCCATCTAGCGGGAGAATGTTTAAAACTAGTGTATGGCGGCGCACCATGTTTTCAGGCGTTTGTTTCGAGTCATCTAGCGGGAAGCGTTGAACATTAGTGTAGTGCGGCAAGGCATGTTTTCAAATTTCAAGTTTCAGGTGCTCATCGCTTTTTCCATTTAGAGAGATGCGTATCGCGTGTACCTCTAAATTCAGTGTATTGCATCCAGGGGCGTCGTTTTGTATAGGCCTGGTAGGGCCCGAGCCCTACCAATGTTTATTTGGGCCCTACCAGTGTTCGCTGAGCTCTACCAATCTTTTGTCACTTATCAGTTGGTAAAAAATCAAAATAAACAGATAAGCAAATAAGCATATATGTACATTCGTCACAGATGTGTGTGGCCTGTGGGCCGTAGACTAGGAGCTGCTGTCGCGAACCCTTCGCAAGCCGGCAGGGGATTCTTAGGGAACGGCAAGGTGTCCTCACTCCTCAGGCCGGCAAAGGGTCTTCAGAGGCCGGCAGCACCTTCAGAAGTTCAGTGGGGTCCTTAGAGAACGGCACGGTACTCTCAGACTCCGGTGGGATCCTCAGAATTGCCGGTGTGGGCCACGCAAAAGTCACTGGTGGGTGTCCGTCAGATGCATATGTCGCCGGTGAGGGCCCTCTTAAGCGCCGTTTCGGGGCCCTCAGATACACTGGTTTGTGGCCATCACAGATATGCGTGGGACCCTTAGAGCTGCTGAGCTGAGTGCTGGTGCGGGCCCTTCATAGGACGACAAGGGGACCTCAGAGGTCGGTGGTGCCTTTAGGAGCGCCGAGGGGGTCCCTTTAGACCGGAATAGTATTCTCAGACGCCACTGGGACCCTCAGAGTCACCAGTGTGGACTCAGTGGAGCCGTCAGAGTCGCTGGTGTAGGGCCTTAGGAGCCTCTGATGAAGACCCTCAGAACTGGGGGAGAAGGGGCCTCAGAAACGCCGGCGTGGGCTCTCAGAAACGCCGGTGTGGGCTATCAGAGGCACTCCTCACAGTTATTGGGGCCCTAAGAGAATTGGTGTTGGACCATCACAGGCGGGCATGCAGCTCGTAGAGCCCGCTCCTAATAGGCCGGTAAGGGCCCTCAGAGGCCACCAATAGGCTCTCAGAGCCGAGGCCACCAATGCGCCCTCAGAGCCAAGGCCACCAATGGGCCCTCAGAGGCCAGCAAGAGATTCTCAGAGACCGTGAGGGGCAGGCTGGTAAGGGGCCCTTGGCGGCCTCTTAGGGCCTTAACTGGTGACAAGGGCTCTAAGAAGTCGGCGTGGGGCACTTACGAAGATCTTAATACGCCACTTAGGGGCCCATGAGATGCTCTGACGAGTCCTGTGGGGTCCCTTTGAGACGAAATATGGCCAGCGTGGACCCTCAGCGGCCGATTGGCGCCGCAGGGACCCGAAGGGCCCCCTGGACCCGATGGGAGGGGCACGCGCCCCCTGTGCCCCACTTGGCTACGCCACTGGAATCTATCATGCTATGTTTAAGATCTCTGCAAGATGTATCCCCCGTTTGCTGACACTGCAGAGAAAAGACAAGCTCGTGGAATCTCGAAGAAATTGTGGGCGTCACACGTTGACACTAAGGGACACCGTGCCGAGTTGCGCAAGTGGAAGCACAGTGCACACCGAGTAACGGCCACCAAATGAGTGGTACGAGTTGAAGTTAGTCGGCAAAGTGATAGTGGTTACATTTTGGTATGCCGACGGGGCTCTGCTTGTCAACTTTCTAAAACAGGGGCGCACAATTGATGATGTGCGTCCATTCGATAGACATCGAGGAGAGGCTATAGGGAAGCTGACATAAAGTGTGCACCTGATCCACGGCCACGCACCTGCGTACTTGCGCGGGGTGACGATAAGTTAAGTGATGAAATGTGGCTTCGAGTTGTTGTCGCATCCACTTTTTTCCGAACCCTGCACCCTCTGGTTGCCACCTCTTCCCCAACATAAGGAAATTAGCAGTGGCAACTTCGCTGACTGCAGGGAGACTAAAGCAGCCGTCTTGGACGTGGGATGGGTCCAAAACCCAATTGATTATGGAGACTTTGAGGGCTCTCCCGAAGGCCGAAGCGCTGCGCGA